CCTGCACAGGACTTCCAGCGGAGTGGTAATGGTGACGGGATACTTCTCGTTGCGCCCAATTTTCTGGCGGGCGCCCACATTTCCTGCGTGTGCACCATCACACCTCAATTAGCGATGATGCCCTGTCGCCCAATGAGGGGCCCAGGATGGGGGCACTCGCTGTGGCTTCGCCTGAGGGGAACCCGGAAAGAAGAAAAAAAAATCCGAGCTGACCAGGGGTGCGAACACTCCTGTCGGCCTAGGTACTCCAGGAACCGTACCTGCTTCGGCGGGACACACACACTCTCTCTCTCTCTCTCTCTCTGTGGGCCACCCAGCACATCCGAGGCATCTTGCCCATTAAAGCAGCAAGACCTCTGGCAGCCCAGGTCAGTGTTGGGCGCATGTCCCCGCCTGTGTGTGCCTGAACAGAGCGGCCGCCGTTGAAAGCGATGGGCTTCCCTCTCGTCTGACCTGAGGAACCTCTAGTGACGAGCTTCCTCGCCATCGTCCTCTTACGCACTGCGAGTTGAACACCCCCAAAGCCCCCGAGAAAATCCCTTGTTCTCCCGACCACCCCGACAGCGGCCGACAGCGGCCACATTCTGAGGCCTTCCCCACTGTCCTGCTTATTGCTGCTGTGTTTTCCTCCCAAACTTCAGAGCTGAGGCCCCGTTATCGCACCACCAGGCTTCCACCCTTCGACCCGACCTGCTCGTTCGCGCCCCCCAGGCCCGGGGGCACACAAAGCAAGCTGTCCTCGTCGGCGGTTGCCTTACTCGGAGTCCCCTCAAAAGGCACAATTTTACTGAGGTGCCCTCCTGCCGAAGCGCTTTCCCTCGGCCCTCTCCTTCAGATGGCTCCTGGGTTAGGTACTTTCAGCGACGTACCCCATATTCAGTCGACTCAGGCCCAGCTGTCGCTGAATTGTTGGGAGCCTTGGGTCCGTCGATTCCCACGTCTGTTCTCCTCCCCTCCCTCTCTTATGTCGGGCCTGAGGGATCAGTGATCAGCCGGAAAAGAGAGAGGACCACGTTGAAAGCGGGGTGCGTCAGAAGGCCGCCTGGAGAGTTTTCCAGCTCCCTCCCCGTCTCTCTTTCTCTGTAGACTCTGTAGATTTGCCGCTGATCCCATCCACATGTTCAGCGCCCTTCGTGCCTCCCTCCGAGTCTCAGCTGTGGTAGAACTTGTCCCTCGTCCAGACTGTGCTCGCCCAGCGCCGACTTCTTACCCGATCGCTGTCCTTTAGGGTCAACAGCGCCTCGCTTCACATGCCAACATTCCATTCAGAGGCGCCCCGTTCTGACCAGCAAAACCCAGCAATCTGCCTGTGACTTTGGTGACCGGGACTGAATGATTCCTCTGCCATCGACGACCCGAGCCCCAAAGGCCTCCTGGGCAGCGCGGGCGTCTTCCACCACAGCCGTCTCTTTCTGTTCCATCCTCCTCAGTCGATGCCGTCGCAATTAGGTGGTCGGTTCAACTGTCCAGCGCCCACAAGGACTTCGGCATGATCACTGGACCTGTTCGACTTGATCCAGACCTGATCTCGCAAGTGGACGACGCCCTTTTGACGTTCCCTAATAATGGAAGCCATGGCATGGTACTTTTAACAGCGTCGAAGTCGGCTTTGGGCAGCCCAGATTGCTGTCCGAAGCCAGCATCGCCTCTGTACATAGGTAGGCACCTACCGTGCTCGCTTTACCATCTGTCTTACATCTCGCGTTCGCTCTCATTCACATTCGCATACGCCAGCTGTTCTCGAATCGACTCAAGCTTGCCAACTGCCTTGTTCCCCAGCGTACCTCATTGTAGGCATATGAGCCGTAATCAGGGCGCCAGCCGACAGCTCGGTCTAGCCATGCTCAGCAGGCTTGAGGTCCCGAATGTGCTCTGATCGAACAGATTGTGGTCTTTTTTGATCATCACTATCGTTGTATCTCCTGTAACCTGCGTAGGTGCTGTGATGTTAGAGTTATCTTGGTCAATACGGCTATCAGTAGAGGTGCAGGTGGTGGCAACGCGTACCCCTACACGCGTTGTTGTTCTACGCACATACTCTCCGCACAACGGCAACGCAATGCCGCAAGTGACTACCGCCTCGCTGGCCAGGCACAGCACATGGCTGTAACGGGCAGCCTGCCCCGAAGTGATGGAGGTGATGGCTTGCACTTTCACCGAGGCCACCGATTGGTCACCGAACTTCACCGAGCTAGGCTCTCAGCGCTGGCCTAGTGCATGCCTGATGCGACATCTTATCTGCTACATACTTACGTGCGCGTATCTTCCATTAGGCAGCGCTCATGATGGCAGGCTTTTTGAGGACGACCTCTGAGCAAAAGACAGGTATGTCCAAGACATCTCAAGAATCGCCGATGCAGCACATGGATTTGCGCAGCCTACCACTCTGATGTGAGGCGATGAACCCCACGCGTAAACAACAACCTGCCAAAAGGCCGCATTCTCTGCACAGAGTCCAATGCTCAGATGAGCATGCTGCTGGTGATCTCCGTATCTGACAGGGGCTACTATGGTCATTGGAAACTGAATCGCGCGCATGGCTCCTTGAGTTACTCTCAGAGGGCCGGTTGTTGAGGCGGCTGCGCGACCACGTTTTCTCGCTTACCTGCCCGAACCACAACATCGTGGCGCGAGCATTGTACCGAGCCACAGCGCGCCCCTCTGTAACGGCATGTCTCATGGCCCCACCTCTCGCGACGAGGGGTAGCTTCCACACGCGCGTCGAGGACTGCTCCTGTCCAGTGAGGCGCGGTGAACATATTCACTGTGGCATGTGTGATGAACCGACAGACTACGCAATTCAATGTTTCCGATAAGCACAGAGAGCCTGTCCAGTGTCGAGTATTGGTTGTGGTGTAACTTGGGTAGGGCACTTATGATGTGAGGCACGCCTCCTCTGTCGATGGTGGCTCCGGGAGGAAGCTGTGTAACGGTCGTTGTCTTGGACCGTGTTTGCGACCGAGGGAGCGCGAGTGAGTTTCTCTGCGTGGTGTTAAGAGCATCAGTGTCACTTCTCAGCAAGGCTTAAGCTAAGTCCTGGATTTCGTCACTCCTCTCGACCCGAGAGACCAGCGACGACGGCGACAGCCACGAGGCCGTCGATTACTGCGTCGTTGGATGATGGTTCAAAGCGCCTATTGACTAGAGCTGTCAGCTAGCTCTCCGTGTGCGCACACAGTGAAGCATCGATGCACAGTGGAAGCTGGCAAAAGCTGCCCCTCCTCCCGTGACACCAGGTGAAAGCCCCTCCCATCCCCTTCCCTTCCCTTCCCTTTCCTGGGAGCTGGCCTTGACCGCGCCGACCGTCTCATCCCGTTTTGAAACGCGACCCCCATCGGTTTTGATGGGGACCTCAGCTCGCTGGAGGCAGCCCATTGGCAGCGGGCCAACCCCGCGACCCTCCAACAGCCGCGATGAGGTAAAAGCACTGGCGGCATGCGGGCAGCGGTCGCCCTCTGCCGCCGCGCAGATGGCAGGCAGGCCCAGCACCCGACGACGCCAGCACGCCAGGCACAAGACGAGAGATGGACGTGACAGGGTTCGTGGCCATCCGAAGAAAGGTGGTCTTCAGTTTCCTATTTTCAGTTTGGGTTCGCCTCAGCCCTCGCTGAAAGTATGAACGCTGGCCAGGGCGAGCAGCTGTCGATTGCTCATCCGAGACTGAGCTTGTTTGCGCATCATTGACCCCAGTGGTTACCCACACCATAAAGCATTTTCGGGTGAAGAAAAAACAGCTGATGAGATGACCCTGTCTCGAGGAAAATGGAAAGTCCTGGGACGTATCTGCAGCTTCCAATTCCACCTTACTTTGAGGTGCGAATTAGCACCGTGTTAAGATGTACCTTCCTGCTATCCGTGTTGAGGTGTGCGCCTTCCGCCGTCGTTCAGATAGAGCGTGAAGGAAAAAAAGAACTGTACCTAGACTGTCATCGGGTGCAAACTAAGACTGCGTCATCTCACCAACACCCGCAGGCGTTATCAAACCATCGGCGGCCACAAATTATCATATTTCCTGGTATCTGGACACGCAAACCAAGTCACAGCAAGGCACCGTGCTTTCTCTCTTCGCGGTTCACCTCACACAGCCTTCAGCTGGCCAAGGTCTGTCTGACGCGCCCGCCGGACAGTTAAGCACAACAGCATCCCGAGGACCGACGATCACCTACCGAATCCACAGCTGGCTTGAGCTTGATGCAGACCCCTGCCCCATTCCGACGTGCATCTACCGCGTACCGCCAGTCGCCGGCTACCTCAGATACCTCATTCGTGTATGTAAGTTCCCTACAGCTCCCAGGTACCCGTGCTCTCAGCGCCGCCGTCCAGCAATTCACCAAACTCGCAACCATCCCCCTGTCTTGATTCAAGCTCCCAATCGGCATCCGCAAGCCCCTCTACACAGTCCGCTGGCATTGGTGGGGGATTGTCTTGGCAGCAGCTATTGCGCAGTAGTATGATGCCATGGCACCTGGGGCTTGGACCACAGACCACCTCCAGTCCCTCTTTGACGCTGGCAGGTGGGATGTGAGAGGTGGGAGGGAGGGGCAGACAGACACAAGCATCAGATCGCGGATTGGACTGGCCTGGATCTGGCCTGGCCTCTGCTGCGTTACTGGAGCACCGTCCGCTGTTTGATTGTCATTCTGGCTTCTGATAGCTCCGACTTCCAAGTTTCTCCATGCCAGACCAGACACTCGACGTCCCCAACCCAGCCAGCCTTGGAATACCGCAGTAACGTCCTTCGTGTTGCCCCTCCACCGCCTCTGAACCGTCAAAGGGCCCCTCCTTTTCTTCACCCCTTGGCCGTGTCATAACCTCCCGTCCTCCTTGCCTACCTTACCTATTTCATAACCTCTCCTCCCTCCCTCCATCATTCACCAAATCTGCTCTCCTGCAAACTCTGCCCCGCTTGACCCAACCACTAAGCTGTCTCTACAGAACTACAAACAAGATACCCCCCAACTAAAACAACAAGAGAGAGGAGATACGAGGTAAAAGTCATCATGCTCGACGCCAGGTCCTACCCATTGCTGGTCGGCCTGATCGTGCTGGTCTGGTTCTCCCGGCCGGCCCACGCCTTCGGAGCTGGCAACATCGCCGGCATCTCCAAGATCGAGGGCCAGAACTGTGAGCTTATTTCCATTCACCTGTTGCTAGCTATAGACGCTGACCGTGCGGTAAACCAGGGCGCCACGGCGACATTGAAGATGCGCTCCTCACGCTCGCGATGGCCCGCTCCATGAACGGCAAGAAGTTCACCAAGATGATGGTCTCCCGTGTCTACTTCGGCAACTGGCTGAGAGACTACTCCCAAGCAATTGACGTCGGTACCGTCAAGTCCGTCTCCGCCGAGGCCATCCGCCTGCTCCTCTGCGTCCTAGGATTCCTCAGCTTCGGCTACGGATCCAGGGAGTTCGAGGTCACGGCCGACAGACTGGGCTGCTACCGCCCCGAGGACCACATCGACAACCCCAAGAACTACGCCGACAACATCGATGCCCGCCAGTACGACCGTCGCCTTAGAGGCCCCGTTGACGAGGGTGTTGAGCTTGGCATCGACGAGCGCACCGGTATGAAGAACTACATTGCGAACGAGCAGGCCGGCATCATGACCTCTGCCGCTCACGTCCGCAAGCTCTTCGCCACCTGCATCGAGCTCGCCCGAGGATACGGTCGCAACAAGAACGAGGCCGATCTCTACGAGGCGATGCGCCTGATGGGTACCGGTCTGCACTGCTTGGAAGGTACGATACTGGACATTTATACCCTCAGCTGTAAGGTTACTAACAATATTGCGGCTCGCAGACTTCTTCGCGCACAGCAACTACACCGAGCTGGCCCTCATCGAGATGGGCGAACGCGACACATTCCCCCACGTCGGCAGAGACACCCGCATTAGACTTGAGGGCGCTAGAGACGAGGTCTATCCGATTGTCACTGGCACTTTCGGTGGTGTTGACTTCCTGCACTCCGTTACTGGCGAGGGTAGGTTTATCGAGATCTCATCGGCTGAGCCTAGCTAATCCTATCACACAGTCTCTGACAAGCTCACTCAAAATGAGATTGAGGAGCTCGAGGGCACCCTTCAGGAGAGCAAGAACAACGACACCAGCATCCTGCGCAACTTGCTGGACATGATTCCCGATGGTATCTTTGGCGGTAAGCACCAGAGCAACCGGGTGGATGAGCTCCAGAGCAGCGCTGCCGAGTCGCAGCTCCAGAACATGCAGGTCTCTCCCAGAGACCCTGAGGAGTTCACTCAGTACATCCAGAACGTTTTCAAGCAGATCATGCCTGCCATTCAGTTCCACGACGAGATTCTGCAGGGCATCAGCGAGGCCATTGAGAAGATTCCCGTCCTGCCCAAGATTCTGGAGCAGCTTGAGGAGCAGCTCTCCAAGTTTGTCTTCTCTCTCATTGCCCCCTTCATCATCCCTGTCATCAACCAGATCCGCAACGAGCTGCGCACTGGTTCTGCCGAGATTATCGAGAGCAGTGAGAAGGAGCAGCACGTCGTCTTCGATGATGACTGCAGCACCGACCCCACTCACTCTATGCTGTCCAAGGACCACTTTACCAACGTAAGTAATTACCTATGTCCCTCGGTGCTGAGAGGCATTTAAGCTGATCCACTTTCAGATTCTGAACGAGATTGCTGGCCGCTGCGCTGCTCTGACTGTGCAGTGGGTTGTGCCTCAGCTGATGGAGGCCATTGATGATGAGGGTGTTGATGTTAACCGCACCATCAACCGCATCATCTTCGGCGTCATGCACCACCCCGCTCAGCGCGATATGGGCGAGGATGGCGCGACAGAGGGACGTCAGAAGATCTTCCGCTTCGTTGAGGAGTGGTGGAACAACATGGATAGAAACCAGCAGGATGACTACCGCCGCAAACTGAGCCGTGAGGGCGTTCAGCGGGGAGAGAACCACAAGGAGGGCGAGCACGACACTGGCCACGGCCACGGCTGCAGTGGAAAGCTTCACATGCGCAAGCAGTTCGGCGAGCCCAAGAACTGGGAGGACAAGGTTGCCGACCAGGCTGCCGGCGCCCTTCTTGAGGGTGCTTCTGGCGCCATTGCCGGCCTGGTGCAGCAGCAAGCTGGCGTTAAGATCCCCCAATACAAGCACCAGCAGGAGGAAGAGGAGTCCAGTGGTGGTGGAGGTGCTGGCGGACTCATCGGCTCTATCCTTGGCGGTGTTTTCAAGAAGGACGAGACCGAGTCTCGCCACAGCAGCCGTCGCGACGACGAGGGTAACTACACGCAGACTCAGACTGAGTATGGCCACCATGGCAACAAGTACGGCCAGGCTGAGTATAAGGAGACTCAGTACTCTGGCGGTGGAGGCCGCTCCGAGTACCGTCGCTACGAGCAGGAGGACACCCAAGGCGGACGTCAGGCCAGCGGCTACGAGTACCAAGAGACCACAGAGACTAGACCTTCCTATGGCGGTGGATACGAGCAGCGCACCGAGACTCACCGCTATGAGGGCAGCACCGGCGGTGGCTACGGCGGTGGAAACCGACGCGACGAGGACGAGGGAGGCTACGGCGGCCGTCGTCATGATGAGGGCGGATACGGAGGCGGTCGACGCGACGACGAGGGTGGCTACGGGGGTGGCCGTCGCCACGAGGAAAGCAGCTACGGTCGTCAGGAGGAGAGCTACGGTGGAGGTGGAGGCTACGGGGGTGGTCGCCGCGAGGATGAAGGTGGCTACGGCGGTGGTCGTCGCCATGACGAGGGCGGCTACGGTGGTGGTGGCGGCGGCGGTTACGGTCGTCAGGAAGAGAGCTACGGCAGCGGCGGCGGTGGTGGCTACGGAGGCCGCCGCGATGATGAGGGCGGTTACGGACGCCAAGAAGGCGGCTACGGTGGTCGTCAGGAGGGTGGCTATGGCGGCCGGGAGGAGCACCACGGCCGACGCCGTGATGAAGACGACGATGAGCGTCGTGAGGGCGGCGGTGGCTTCGGCGAGTTCATCGGCAAGGTTGCCGAGAGCTTCGGCGACAACAACAACAACCGCAGATGGTAGAACTGCTGCTGTTGAATCACCTAGACATGGGTTCACGCAGACCCGATGCTAGTTGCTTTTGGTTGTCGATATGGACTGGCTTTTAACTGGAGTAGGTGGGGGCGGTTGATGATACAGGTTAACGAAGCTCAATAACGAAAAGTCTTGATTTCAGAAGATTACACTGTTGTTTGATTTTGTAGTGACTTGATGATGCCGTTGATAATTGCCTCGGTGCAAGTGACATGCTGACGTCGTCTGAAGACCTGCCTCTCGTGCAACTCGGCGTCGCTTTTAACACCCGCTCATGTCGTCTTTTCTTGTACGCATTCCCATCGTCATAACGTTGTGCGCCCTGCGAAACTGATTTACCACACATTGCAGCGTTTAAAAGCCGTCATGTCGCGGTGTATAAATTTATAAACGTGGTCAGTGACAGAATAACTCCTTTGAACATGGGACAACAACTTATGACGCCGGTCCTCAAAAGTCCCACTATCAGCCGGATGTATAAAATCTTCTCAGCCATGTAAGAATTACCCGGCTGATCTCTTGCCCCATGGAGGTTTTTCTCTCGCAGCTCCGGATCCTACCTTACTCTGCTCTGCATCCCATCTACCCCTGGCGAACGTTGACGATTGCGGGGAAACCAAAGCACCCATCGGCGCGACTGCCGTCGGAACATTTCTCCGTTTGGATGAATCGGCCTAGATCGCAAATTTGAGCTCACACGAGGCCCCGGAAGCGTGGTTTCTGCTAAATTGCCAGAACCACGGGCTTGTCTCCTGGGGTGCCGCCGCCCCTGGTTATATTGGCCTTGTATTAGTCGGTGGTGTGTCCGGCGTCCACGGACTGATTTTCGGCTCGATCGAGGCAGGTTTTGCGGACGGCACGAGGCAAATCAGTTTGTGTGTTATTTGGTACCGGCAATATGGTGTCGGCTGGTCGGGCAGGTCTTCCCCGTCCTTTTCACTTTGAAAGCAACTTAGAAAAAGGATCTCTCGGTATGATATAGGTCATGTGTAGTTTGTCCATGGTTTTAATATATTGCTCTCCCGCCTGTAATTATATAACAAAACTCTCAATCCGACTGAAACCCTCTAGCAAGCCCAGGATAACTATATATACACATACCCAAAAACCTTCTTCAACATCTCATCTCGACCGCCAGAAGGCACCCTCGAACAAATCACCAAAAGTTGCAATCAGCCCACAAGAAAGAGAAAAAACAAAAAGATGCATCCCACGCAAGCCCTCGTCTCGCTTCTCTCCCTGCTCCCCCTCGCCGCCTCCCAGGCCTCGGGCACCGGCTCCACGACGCGCTACTGGGACTGCTGCAAGCCGTCGTGCGCGTGGCCCGGGAAGGCCTCCCTCGCCGCCGGGCCCGTCGGCACGTGCGACCGCAACGACAACCGGCTCAACGACGGCGGGGCCACCAAGTCGGGCTGCGACGCGGGCGGGTCGGCGTACATGTGCAGCTCGAACTCGCCGTGGGCCGTCAGCGACAGCCTGGCGTACGGCTGGGCGGCGGTGCGGATCTCGGGCGGGACGGAGGCGTCGTGGTGCTGCGCGTGCTACGAGCTCACGTTCACGAGCGGGCCGGTGAGCGGGAAGAAGATGGTTGTGCAGGCCACGAATACCGGGGGCGATTTGGGGCAGAATCACTTTGATCTTGCTGTGAGTTAGACACTTTCTCTTGTTCTATATGGGTTTCTTTCTCTCTCCTTGGGTGGATAGAAGGTTGGACGGGGCGGATCGGGACCGGGCCCGATGATCACCGTCCTGGCGCCCCGATCTCCGAGACCCGGACATATGCCCCACTATTACATCGGCTCGACGCAACTTACGGAGCACCGCTAGAATACTAGTAGTACCGACCAGCCACTGACATGGTTACAGATCCCCGGCGGCGGCGTGGGACAGTTCAACGCGTGCACCGATCAGTACGGAGCGCCGCCGAACGGGTGGGGCCAGCGATATGGGGGCGTCAGCTCCCGCTCCGAGTGCGACGGGTTCCCGGAGAAGCTCAAGGCCGGATGCTACTGGCGGTTCGATTGGTTCCAGGGTGCCGACAACCCGAGCGTGTCCTTCAAGGAGGTGTCGTGCCCGGCCGAGATCACGGCCAAGAGCGGGTGCAGGCGGAACTAGATGCGCCTCGTCCTGCAGACCCTGCCTGGAATGATGAAGCCATGCGCTGTGGCGTGCTCCTTCCATCACGTTGATATCAAGGTTATTATAGGTAGTTGAATACAAGAAGCGTACAACGGGGACGTCAAGCCAAACTCCCAGAACTAGGCACCTAACTGCACTTGGTGCATGAACGTGCTTACTCCTAGGTCGCGAGGTGGGCTACGACTCCATCAGCAGAGCACAGCCTTTTGTCCCAAGACTCAGGGCGAGATGGGATGGTGAAAGCGACTCGGCGTACAGAGTACACAACTCTGATGAGAACTGAGCGCCCCGGGCTGCCAAGCCGCAGCTGCAGTAGGTCGAATAGCTTCTTCAATTTCCATTGCTGACAGGGTTCGCCGGTACAGCTTGGCATCTCAAAAGCAGGGCTGCACTAGCCCGTTTACTACCCTCCGACATGACTGCCGTGAGCAAAATGGATATCAACGGTGGCTGTGGGCTGGGCAGTAGACGGGCAACCCGCTTCTTGTGAAGCTACAACACCCAGCAGCCCCCAAGACGAGGGCAGCCAAGATAAAGCCAAGATGCTCGATGAAAGCGACATTGCACCCAAGGCCTTGTCGTTGGGCACTGCCCCAAGGGGGCAAATCATCTTTTGTCGCAGGCACGTCGCCAACGAGAGGCCGCGCGGTCTTTGGTGCAAGTGCTTGCCAACTCGCCAGAATGGTTTCCTTCTTTCGCAGGCGTTTCTATGTGGCAGCCAACCGAGACGCGCCGGCGAATCAGACGTTTGAACTCACATGACGTAGAAGTGATGTTCGGGTTTATGTGCCGCTTTCGACAAGGGGGACGGGGCGCCAGGTCGCGGCCGGGAGCCTGTAAGATGCCGAAGGCAGCGTAGACAGTGGAAGAAACGCAGGACAAGCGACGGCAAGCGGTAGACCGGCATCTTCGGCGCGTAGTGTCAATGCGGCTGGTAGGTATCCGTACAGAGCGAGCGATGTCGATGATTGACCAGCCTCTGAAAATCTCCTCGAGACTAGAGCAGTTTCGACAAGCTTCGCTATCTGCCAGGCTATGATTGAACGGCACATTTCCCAAAGAACTGGCGGGAGCCGTTGCCCCTGTCCTGCCCTGTCCTGGTGGATCTAACCGGGCGAACAGCCAATGTTTCAATGACGTCTGCCCGGGCGTTGTGTCTGTGAGGGGTACCCTGCGCTCCTCTCATGCACTTGGTCGACATTGAATCAAGACGCCAGAAAATACACAAGCGCTGTGACCTACAACTGCTGACAAGGCCTGCGGAAGGACAGTTGGTCGCTGACAGATTTCAGCTTAAGCACCACAAGCGTCCGAAGATTGAAAGATTCCGAGACTTGTATGGGGATGCCAAGGCGCATTGGCGGTTAGCGATCGAAGCTAGAAGGGTGTACAGTTGCTAGAAGCCTTTCCCGCGAATTGACTCGCAGCGGGACGTCTATCGTAGGATTCCTGGGCGCTGGCAATCGTCATCTTGTATTGTAACTTGTGTGGCACTGGCCAAAACCGGGACGTGGGACGCAGGCCACGCAAGATGGGTGTCCGATAGTCGATTGTCTATCAGAAGCGGTCTGGCGGCGCATGCACGTTGTTGCCGTTTAAACCGTCCGCGGCCTGCTTGTGCCGTTGGACTCTTGCGCCCACCCATTTTGATACTTGTAGCGACAACGATATCGAGGGCGGGCAAGCTAGTCATCTCAGGATGCGTGGTTCCATTGGTCGCATCGTACGATACGATCCTCTCCCAAGCGTGGCATGAGATGGAAGATATGCAACCGAGGGCAGATGGGCTTGTGTCACTTGTGTGACGGTCTGCAAGAAGAGGGTCTATTGGGATAGAGAAGCACGCGAAGGGTGCCGTATTGCTGGGAACCCCAAGTGAGTGAATGCCGAGAGAACCGGTCGGACATCGTCTAACTGTCACTAGACATCAGTCGGTGCATGTCGAGTCTGGAACAGTCGGCACAAGTTGCCGTCTGGGAGGACCGGGTCCTTGATGAGACAGAAAGTTAAATTCTCATTGAGGGAGGGTTTCGAGACCGAGAGAGAGGAGAGCGGGAGGCAGACATTCTCCAGAGATCTGCAGACTGAGCTGGAGGCGGTCCTGATTGAGGTGTTCCACCTACCTACCTTAGTACAGAGTACTTTGTAGTTATTGACGGTAGGCAAGTAGTTTGGCTAGGTAGTGCGAGAAGACCGGGGACTGTTGGTGCCTGTCTCCGGACCCAGCGACGTGCCCCGAGGTGATGAGGCTAAGGTAGGGTCTTTTCCTCCGCGCTAAGACACTGAGCAGGTTCCCTCTTCCGCACCGAATGACCTGCTTGTTTAGCGGGATTGGCGAGACCTTGGGGCAGGCAGGTATTTGTGGCACATGGGGAGGTAGGTAGGTAGGGAACGAGAGACAAAGACGGAGAAGCCGTTTCTTTTTTCACCTCAGCTTGGTCGTTGGCGAGGGCCAGTAGGTGACGTCTGTTGGGCAAGGCCTCGGAGCCGGCCTGGGTGACCCGAGAGATCTCTGTGTAGCAATGTTTTTGGATGTAACGACCAGGAAGAGGAGAGGACCGGGGCGACGGGAGACGGGGCAGTTCGATTTAGCAGAAAGATCAGACAGACAAGCTTCGAGGCAACAAAAAGCTTAGCGACGAGAGCGAAGTTCCATTGACGTCCGATTCGCCGGGCGTCGGGTGTCGGGCGAGTGCATGATGAGGCAGCCAGCAAGCAGCGAGGGAGATGAGCATGAGGTAGGCAGGTACACCTCAGTGGAAAGCTTTGTTGGAGGGGTTGTGCATGTCGAGACATTGAGACAAACAACAACGGCAAGAGCGGCAACTTCAGTGGCTGTTTGGCAGACGAGAACGGAGGGTTGGGTCGAGGTTTTAGGGAGGTTTAGGGCGTGCCGCTGCCGTTTTGGTGGTTGGAGTGTTGGTTTCTGGTGGTGCCGCCCGTGTGCCGTGGCTGCCGCTGGCATTCAAATGTCGGTTGGTCGGCTCTGAGTCTGCAGCCTGCAGCAGCATCGCGCTTCTTTTTCTACGGGCTGCTCCTGCGGACGGGGTACGAGTATCCTCTGTTAGCGGAGACGGTCAGTCGGGTGCCACACTGGGCGTCCGCAGCATGGGGCCTTAACTCGGCTACCTGCGTCGACGCGGATGAGCGGCTTCTCACTGGCTACCGGAGAACTCTCACGGCTCCATCGGACCCCACCCACCATCTTCTCAGTCGCACCCTCGCCCTCGCCCTCGCCCTCGCCCTCGCACTCACACTCTCGTACCTCCCCTTCTGCGCAGCACCCAGCCGTGACCCGGTCCACCACTGTCCAGTGCTCAGCGTCGACAGGTGGACCTGCCTATCCGTTCCTGGCAACAGCAGGTACTCGGTGTGTCAGTGGAGAGTGTGAGAGTCAGGAACCAGACTGAGGGAGATGCGGATGTAACGAGCCGCGCAAGATTCACGCAGGAATGAAGATCAAGCTGCATGCCGTCGGAGAAACATGTTGAGAGAGATGGCCGACGAGACCTGGACATGGAAATGCATCCAAAAATCAACGAAGCGGCATGAACGGGAACGATGACATGGAAGGACGACAAAACAAAAAGACCAGACTGGCTGCCTATGGAGTTCAACGACGAGGACAAGGCAAGGGAGGGAGGCTGTGTGGGTGGTGCGGTGCGGTGCGCCTGTCCTGTCCTTTCGCTCGCCCCCCTGCTCCTGTCCTCCTACGAATACCTGTATCCGTACCGTAGGCATTCGTACTTGCCGACTGACCTACAATTGACAAATGCCTAAGCCAATGTTTGGCGAGGTACTTCAGTGTACAGCCCGTGTTGCGCAGAATCTCATGTACCTCCTCCGACCTTGCCCCTAGTGCCTGTCCGGCCTGCCCAAGGGGCCTTACGGTCAGTTCGTTACGTTGCTGAGAGATATTACTACTGCTACCGACGCCCTCTCTCTCATCGTCTGTAATCAATTGCCTTTGCTGTTTTGCTTCTCTAACCCGCACTCTGGTTGCTTGCTTGCTCTTCCCTGCCCGTCCCTGCCCGTCCTTGTCTTGACTTGCCTGCTCCTGCTCCCGCTCCCGCTCCTGCGCCTGTCGCTGTCAGTCATCCTCCATCCACCACCACCCACCCCCATACCGTAGCTACCTACCAAACCACGGGCACCCACGCACGCCCACCACACCCTCGACACCTCGACTTGATCAATGTGCAGTGTGCTCCTGCAGCGCACTGGGAACGACCTGTCGAACCCCGCTTGGCATTGAAAATCGCGCCGGGCCCCAGCTCTCATCCTCACTCGTCCCTTTCTCAGCTCTTCCTGACTTCTCTCGCTTTGCTCGACCACTCCCAATTCCACGCGCTCCGACACGGCTCCTGCCCTCGAGACGTTGATCTTGAGGCTCCAGTCAGCAATCCGCAACCTCTCGAATTCTATTCCGCCTCGACCGACCTTGGATCCCAAGAGCAGCCCGAGTCCTGAACACGACAATTTCCCGGGCCTCTCACCCTCAGCGCCTGCTGTTTCCCTCTCACCCGCCTGCCTCTCTCACTCTCACCTCCGTCCTCCCAGAGCAGCCGCCAAACAACTGTTCTTCTGCGAGGTTGATGGTTTCAATGCCCTCAACCTCCTAGTTTAACATGTGAGGAAAGCATGTGTAAGTCAAATAAATATTCTCCCTTATACGGCGATATGTCGCTCGAGAAGCCACGCTTTGTGACTTGCTCTCTGCAGCTGCCAAATCGCCTGGTGTTGTCTCCCTTTTCGCGGCCAAGAGGTGCCAAAGTCCCCCGGTCTTGGCATCATCCACTGACGTCTCACAGCTCTCGAACAGATTCGAAATGTCGTGTATGTCTCAGCAATTTTCCTCAAAATCCCTCTTCCTTTCTTCAACGTCGCTTCCCTTGGTCGCTATCAATTTTGCATGTTTCCCTCCTGTTCAGCGTCGAGGCTTTTTGTCCAGTCGTCACCCCATAGCATGTATTTCAGCGCCACGATACCCAACAGCGCCTCAGTGGGCAGACGCGACGTCTGCCCACCCCCCATCAAGACCGGCCTACCCCCGCTACGGCTCTTAACCTCGTAGTCCAAGGTATCGTTATTGACCATGATGCAGTCTGCTATTCAGTAATCCTGTTTGGTCAGGTGCAAACACCATCCCCTCGACGATTATTAGGAATATCACATCACTCTCGGTACGTCACCTCATCGTCGCTTGTCTACTGATGTTCTCCCCTAACCGAATGCGCAGAGTAACATAGCATACCAAGACACAATCGTCGAGAACCTCACCACTTTGAGTTCGACCAATTCCGATACCGAAGATGGCATCATCAGAGGCCTTCTCTACGTCCCCGATCTCGCTGTCGCGAATCCATGTTACCAGCAGCAGTACGACATCATCCCCCGAAACGCAACCACCCAGGCAGCTTTACCTCCCACAAACTACAACCTCATCGCCCTAGCACCATGGTTCAACGCCACCTGTACTCTGGCGTATCTCGCCTCTGCCCGACTCGATCCGATCCGTGCCTTCATTTTTTACAGGCCAAACAATTCAACGAGAGAACCCCAGGGCGCCGATTCGCCAATATGGGATCTCGACGACAACGACGCATGGCGGACCCAGAACCGCTTCCCAATCTTCGCCGTTCCCGGCGCCCAAGGCAACAAGATGATGCGCCAACTCAGTCTATACTCTGGAAATCTATCGTCAATACCGTACGGAGACCAGATTCAGGACATATATGACCCCCACGACAACGATTATGTACGCATATGGACCGAGTTGACTGTAAAGGACCGAGATAGTGTGCCCGCTATGTGGACATGGATCCTTACGGTCGTCGGAGTCGTCATATTCATCATTGCCTGTTTATCACTTACGATGCATCTAGTGCAAAGAAGACGAAGAATATCACTACGAAGGAGAGTGTTGAGTGGAGAGGTCGACCTGGAGGCTATGGGTATCAAACGAATCACGGTGCCGATCAACCATGTCAAAGGTTTCCCGCTGTTTACGTACAGCTTTCAGCCGGAAATGGTCAGCAGCCCGGCAACGACAAGACCACCAAAGTCTGTCCGATCCCCACGAAGCCAGCGTACCGTTTCTGAGTCCGCCGCACCGAAATCAAGAGCCCGCAGATCCAGCGTGAATAGCGCCACCAGCACCGTTGCTACCAACTTCCAGCCTCAGTGCCACATTTGCCTCGAAAACTACGTGGATCGCGAATCCATCATTCGAGAATTGCCTTGCGGGCATATTTTCCATCCGGAGTGCATTGACGAGTTTTTGAGTTTGAACAGCTCCTTGTGCCCGATTTGCAAGAGGAACATGTTACCACGCAACTATTGCCCTAAGATCACCAATGGAATGGTCCGTCGAGAGCGGGCCGTTAGACGGCTGAGAGAGAGGGTTATCGTCGTCGAGTCAGATGACGAGGAAGAGGAGGTCAAAGGGAAAAGTTGGGGCAGACGGCTGTTCGGCACGGACAAAGCGGCATCATCCCCGAAGGAAACGCCGATGACGCCCGTCACAACCTCCAGGTCCCCGAAAACAGCACAAGAGTCAGCAACCGCACGCACCCCTGCACCGGCAGAGACGGAAGACCCTCGTAGGTCAACCCTAGAGCCGACACAAGAAGAGCAGGAAGATCCAGATCGACCTTCAAGTCAGCCAGGCGGTCAGGAGCCTACTCAACCCATATCACGACCGCCTCAAGCTTCACCGGCAGCACATCACGGTCTTCGAGGCAAACGTCGGAAGTCGGGTGGCCTGCGCCTCCATATGCCCGGTTCGGACGACACCAAGCAGACCCATTCAAAGCCGGAAGGACGTAAGAGTCCCTCCGCCTTGGCACGGGCTCGGATGCGGGCATTGGCGGGTACGCCGCTCGACGACCCCGACGGGCGCAACCCAATATGTAAGCGTTTGCCAATCTATCGAGTTGAATGATCATTGCTAACTAGTACTCAAGGGAAGCGCTACGTCGTCAAGGTCTTTCCAGGGTTTTCATGACCCGCACTTTCGAAGCATTTCAAAACTCGGGGTTGCATGGTGCACAGGCGTTTTATTGGTCAGGCAGACAGGACTGCTTCAGTGTCTTTTTAAGGGAACATGACGAAACACGATACAGCCTAACGACAGTCTCTCCCCGGCGGCTGCCCCACCACTCTGGGTGACGAGGAGACTGATTCATTTCTCACGACGACGATTAGACTCGGCAGGCTCGGCACAGCCTTTTAGCGTTTTACAATTTTGGGACGGATTTTTTCTCGAAGGGGGTTTTCTCAAGAAGGCCTCCTCATCTTTGGACTGGATATACCCTACAGGGAAAGGACATGCATCAACGGCGGGGTCGGCGGATGCCATGCGTGATATTAAAAGTTTAGTATTTAGTGATGAATGCCGACAGCTGCACGGCGAGTAAGGGAATACGGCAGACAGTTCAGGCCTTGCTATTTCTTCCAGCGGCCTGGAACGAGCGAGTCGCATCCTGAATGAAAGATTACCATTTTAAACTTCCAAGACCAAAAACAGAGTTCCATCTATTGCTTGGTGAAAAGACACGACTTCAGTCATGGTATCGTTGCTATTGTTGTTTCATCCGAATCTAAAGCAATGCCGTCCCTCATCCAATGTACTTTGCTCGCTTCTATCCGAACGCCCGCTCATCTCAAAAACACGTTTACTTGCGCAGAGGAAACTATATCCTAAACTTTCACCATGTCATGTCTTGGCTTTTCCTTGGCTCTTCTTGGCATTCTCCTTGGCAACGCTCTTCTCCGGTACCTCAAATTCGACCTCATCATCATGAGCGGGCACGACCTTCGATGAGCTTGTCGTCTTCTTTCGTGCCGCCTCTCGCCAGCGCCTCCCGGATTCGATCGTTTTCGGCGGCGCGGATGCGTTGCCTGGCCTCCTCCAGCCGCTCGACGCCGCGATCAATCGTCTCGATGTGCACCGTCAGGGGGATGCCGGTGGGCGAGTCGCGGACGAGCTCGGGGGCGGCGACGCGATCGCGGAGGTCGCCCAGGCCAGCCTGTATCTTCTCGAGGTCGACGATGAGGGCCGAGATCTGCGCCACGGCTGTGAGACGCTGGCGGTCTACCTGGCGGAGCAGTGAGAGCTGCGAGTTGAGATTGTGGAGGCGCTTGTTGTTGGCGCCGACGAGTGTCCAGATGGTCCAGAGGACCTCGTCTCTGCGGGATTTGACCGAGTTTGAGGAGCGCGTGACGACCTCGTAGATCTGGTTCAGGCTCTCCTCGGCTTTTGAGAGCAGTAGGAGGACGCCCTGCGCTTCGACTATGAGTCCGGCAATGCGGTCTGACACGAGAGCCGTGTGTTCGATATACTTGTCCAACAGCGTACGCTCCGAGAAGGGCGTCACAGTCGGAGTAAATGGGTAAAAGAGCCAGTTCGTCCATTGGGATACGAGAGAGACGTCGGCGTTTTCCGCGGTAGACAGTGTATCCAGGTATCGGGATGTCCAGCGGTTGATGGATATTACCGAGTCCACGGCAGATCCAACATGGACGTTGAACTTTTGCAGGTCGGCAGCCGTCAGGCGCGCCGTATCAACGTACTCGTTGAACTCGTGCACGAGCTCTTCTCGCTGCGGGAGTTCCGAGTATCGCACCATGGTGCGAAGGTCGCGTATTGATGATTCAGAGCGCTTCATCTCCATGGGCAATGAGACGCCATCAGCGCTGCGTTCCAGGACCTGCTCGAACTGCGACTGGACGTTCATGAGGTCGTCAAACTCGACGTTTGCGGACTCGGCATCTTGCGTCTTGCCGTTCAGTGGCCCGGGGGAAGGGCAGAACGGGAGATCTAGATATGCAGCTCCCGGGATGCGGCAAAGCGGGGAGAGAGATGTTGATATTGACTTCGTCACCATGTTCTGAAGCACCATGGATGCGCCGAAGAAGAGCCATACTGCCAGACACAGAGCCAAGGGCTTTTGGACGTACCCAAGGGCCATACCGATGATGTTGAATACCCAGGCCAATATGTTGAAGAGGGCATTCGGGAGGCTCTCAGATAGTCTCTCGGAAACCGCCCGCGGCTGTCCAACTGGGACTTCGTAGTAACCACGGCCCCTTCTCGGATCCCCACGTCGAGATTTGACAGGACTTTCACCACTCGCTTGCCGGATCGCACGACGGCGCACGTCCTGTAGCTGGTAGGAATCGTCGCCGGGACGGATGGTCCTCGAGGACCGGCCGCTGCTGTTTCGGGGACTGGTGCCTGAGCCGGAACTCATGTGGACGGAGGGCATGTAAAACTCAGGATCCGGGGTCCGGCTGGTGTCGTGGCGAACGGTAGGCTGGAACGGAGAGCGGAGGATTACCCGTTCATCATCCGCCTTATTCATAAAGTCCTGAACGCTATGGTGCGACTCTTGGGAAGCGCCGAAGCTGAAAGACTGCGAAGGAAGTTGGGACGGGTCAGTTGATTGAAAACCATCGTCGTCTTCGAGATCGTTGAGTATAGACGTGTCGAAGCTGTCGTTTTCGCCGCCTTCAATCAGGCGCCAGGAGCTCTCCACGGGAAGCTCCTGCTCGCGTCGCGAAGGCATCGCGTTGGCAGATAAGGTTGATAGGGCTTGAGGGATGACAGACAGGCCTCAGCCTAAGAAATATTGTGTATATATAGTATTGGCAAGAGTAAAGATGTCCATGGGCGACCCGACCCGTCGTTCAAGAAAGCGCTGAGCGTATATGCCCTGGAAACGCGTTGACCGCGTCCAGTGGCGAGATAGATACAAAGTTCGCGAAATGCGACCGCCTCGGTATATATGTAGTTGGGAAGAGAGAATATGATTGTTCTGGAGACTTGCTAGTGAGTCATAAGACGGGAGCTAATAACAGGGGTTTCGACAACGGTTCTGGGCAAAATAGGCAGACAAAGGACGATCTATAACAATGAGATGTAAAGATGAAGTTCACAGACATTCACAACAGACGTCCCGGTCTGGCGTCATAGGATCCAGCAGGCGCCCCTTGCATGGCAGCTGTTGTTTGGGGGCAAGGTAGCTTTTAGTGGGTAGCTTCCTCCACTGAATCCGCTGTATTGGCAGCAGCAGGGACCATGTGGCAGCGTGACTCGACAATGATAAAGCTTCGCTTCCCCTGGTCAGGTCACATGGACCAGGCGATAACAGATGGTGCATCACCCCGCGGCAGCACATCCTCCCCAAAGTCCGGACCACCACCTGTCCGGTGAAACATAGAGCCGAATCCGGGGAACGTTGCACACGACGGGACCTCACCACCCAGCTGCCCCACTTAGCCTCCGGCGCGATTGATGCCAAACGTCTTTTTGAGGTCAGGAACTTAGCCTCACCTTCCAAAACCTCGCTTTCCATAAACCCACCAGCCTGTTGCGTGCACACCATCAACAAACACCCCAATCCACCCGAAACAAACGCGCGCACAATCGCCCACCATGACGATGGATCAGCGCGAGCTTGAGTCGAGCATCAAGCAGCTCAACAAGACCGTTCAGGCCAACGATCCGCCTTCTTCGGCCTTGGCTCTTCTTGAGCGCCTCAAGAAGGAGGCCGCTCCTACCGAGGAGATGCTTCGAGTACGTCATCATCACATTCTTAAAAAAAATCGCCCATCCGATTTTTTTTTCTCTCTCATTATTTCGCGATAAGATGAAAGCAAGTATTTGTCGCTTGGGAAGGAATTAACAATCGCCCAGGCCACCCGCGCTGGTGTCTTCGTCGGCAAGCTTCGGTCGAACTCGAACAAGGATATCGCCCGCGCCGCGACCGAGTTGGTTCACAAGTGGAAGAAGCTCGTTGAGGCGGAGAAGCAGGGCAAGCTCAAGAAGCAATCTTCCCCTGCCGCGCCCTCCCCCACGACCGCGAGCGCCCCGAAGCCTTCGTCCTCCGGCAGCTCCAAGGAGCCCTTCAAGGGCAACGCCGAGAACCGCCGTGCCAAGGAAGATGGCGCCGACACCAAGCGCACTGGCGACAGCGTTCGCGACGCCTGCATCGAGCTCCTTTACAACGGCCTCGCCTACCGCTCCACAGCATCTGTCGCTGACGTCCTCGCTAAGGCTGTCGCTGTCGAGGCTGCCGCTTTCTCCCACTTCAAGGGTGTCGGCGCTCCTTACAAGGAGAAGGTCAGATCTCTGTTCTCCAACCTCAAGGTCAAGACCAACAAGGAGCTTGGTGTGAATGTTATGGAGGGCAAGATCACTCCCGATCGCTTCGTCGCGATGACGCAGGAGGAGCTCAAGTCTGCCGAGCAGCGCAAGAAGGAGAACTTGCTCCAAGAGGAGAACATGAAGAAGGCGCAGGTTCCCATGGCGGAGAAGAGTATCAGTGATGCTCTGACTTGCGGCAAGTGCAAGCAGAAGAAGGTCAGCTACAGTCAAGCGCAGACGCGCAGTGCTGATGAGCCTATGACCACCTTCTGTGAATGCACTGTCTGTGGTAACCGCTGGAAGGTAAGCCTTATTCCTTGGCTGTTATGTTTCGTGCGGACACCGACTAACAATGCCTCCAGTTTTCTTAAGCCGGTAACCGTAGCTGCTGAGGTTTCGATTCTTTTTTATCCACTTGACGGCGTGTTTTCGCGTATACCCCGTTACTGAGCACGGGCGGTCTTGCATTTGGCACTCGGAAAGTGCGGTTCGGTTGGTTCGGAGTTGGGGATGAGGAAATGTGGCCTCCTTTTTCATTGCTTTAAGCCGTTCTTACGCCCCGGAAACAAAAGCTTGGGCAATCATTCTTGCTTCTTACGGTGTGCTCATATCGAGGGGATTTGCACTCTAGAGGAGGGTTTCGATAGATTCATCTTAAGACTACTAAGAATCATCGAGTCGTCGTCTCATTGGCATTGATCATATACACATTCTTCATTTCTTTGCGGGATCGATCTTGAGAGCGGAGAACAAATCAGCCGAGTGTTCGTCCTGCTCGAGACCCATTTCCGCCACATGCTTCCAAAACTTGCTGAGATGCCTGGTGCCCGAGTCGCAGAGGATGGTGACGACCTGGCTCCCCTCGGGCAACCGCGAAGCCGCAACGCACGCCGCGGCGCAGTTGACAGCGCTGCTGCTGCCGACGAAGATGCCGTCGTTCTCCACCAACCACCGCGCCATGCGACACGCCTGCTCATCCGTGATCTTGATCGCGTCGTCAACCAACTCCCGTCCGGCCTCGAAATTCTCCGTGATGCGGTTGATTCCAATGCCCTCCACAATCGTGTCGACCTGCTGCCTGCGCCGCGTGCCCTCCTTCTCCGTGTTGGAGTACATGACGCCGTGGCGGATCTTGTTGTAGAGCCCGCTGCCCTGGGGATCCGCCAGGATGACCTGCAGCCCCGGCACCTTGGCCTCTTCCTTCAGGTACTTGGCGACGCCCGCAATGGTGCCACCCGTCCCCGCGCCGGCCACGAAGGCATCGAGCCTGCCGCCGGTCTGGTATACGATCTCCGGTCCCGTGGTGGCGAGGTGCGCGGCAAAGTTGTGAGGACTCTCGAACTGGTCCGCGAAGAATCCGACGCTGCCATCGCCTGCCCTGGCGGCATGCTCGGCCGCGCGCCGCCGGGCGAGGTTGACAAAGTGTTCCGGCGATGCGATGGGGGCGGGCGGCACGCGCTCGACCGTCGCGCCGAGGTGGCGGAGCAGGTCGACCTTTTCCATGGCCATGTCGTTGGGCATGCAGATGTGCGCGCGGTATCCCTTTGAGCGTGCGAGCGTCGCCAGCGAGATACCCGTGCTGCCGACTGTTCCCTCGTAGATGGTGTCCCCGCGCCCAGGAACAAGCAGGCCGGAAGCCTCCCCGGCCTCGATCATGGACAGCGCAACACGGTCCTTGGGCGTGTTTCCCGCGGCGTTGAGAAATTCGGCCTTGGCGAGAATCGTGCGTCCTGTGGCCTCACTTAGAGATCGGATCTTGATGAGCGGCGTGTTCCCGATGGCCCCCGCGACGCCCTCGGCGATGAGGGGCGGGTTCCATGCGCCGAGCGCCGCGGCGTCCGCATCCGATCCCGATTCATGATCCTCCAGCTGCACCGGCGGTCCCCAAAAAGCACTGCTTCGTCTAGAGGGATCCGTAGATGAGCCGCCGGTTTCCCTCCTTCGTGTGCGGCGGCGCTGGTAGCGGCGCTCGAGATCCGGGTAAAAGTCCTTGAAGCCCAACGTGACGAGTATGCCGGCCGTAAAGGCGAGCGCCAGGGCGGCAGAGCCGTAGGCTTTTGGGTGATTGCTTAGAGACATGTTGTCTGCGTCATGTGTCTTGCTCCATTGTCTGCCGCAACAACCTTTCTTGTGTTCTCTCTCTCTCTTTCGAGATGTGTGTTGTTGCGGTCTCGGAGCTGGCGAGTCACTGGTCAAAAAACAAACAGGCGGTCGCGTGCGCATGAATTTTGACCATCTCCCACTACAGGGGACTAGCCCGCTAAAATGTGATGTCATTTAAGCTCTATTGGACCCCTGCTCTCAGCCTCAATCTGCAGTTCCAGGCGACTCAGAGCTGGTGCCCTGGCTGAAGCCTGCCACACACTATCGGCGGATTAACAGCTGCCCCGTCCAACAGGGAGCTCGGGCCATGTCCCGAACACTGAACCCCCCATGCCAAATGAGGAGCCGACGATTTGCGATTTTGGGCAGTTTGTTGACCTCTTCCTACGGCCCGCGAGCTGGAAACGCCCGTCTCACCGCCGCAAATCTCCCTTCACCTCCGGGATGGACTCTCCTCTCGTCACTCGTCTCTTCCGCGAGCTCTTCCGCCGCCCAGCATGTCAATCCCGCAGGCAATGCACCACCGCCGCCGCCGCCGCCGCCGGCTCTCTGCCGACCCTCCGTCACAACACCCAGAATGCCGCCGCCGCAGCACAACCACAACAGCAACGGCGGCATTACGCCGTCAAGACGTCCCAACCTAGAGGCGAGCGGACAAACGAGTCCAAATGGCAGCAGCGCACATCCCTCTTCCCCAGCGACCGCACCGAAGAATTCGATACGTATCCGACCCTGACCTCCGCCGAACTGGCCGCCCGCTCCACCCGCCCGCGCAAGGTCAAGATGCTCACCCGCGACTTCATCGAGGACAGCCTGTACAACCCGGCGTACGGATACTTCTCCAAACAAGCCGTTATCTTCTCCCCCGGCCAGCCCTTCGACTTCCCCGCCTTCAAGGACGAGCCGCAGTTCTACCGCGAGCTGGGCAGGAGGTACACCGAGTTCGAGGACGACCTCGACGAGCGCGAGGGCGTCAACGACGCCCGGCCGCTGTGGCACACCCCCACGGAGCTGTTCCGGCCGTACTACGGCGAGGCCATCGCGCGGTACCTCGTGTCCAACTACCGCCTGACGACGTACCCCTACCACGACCTCATCATCTACGAGATGGGCGCCGGCCGCGGCACGCTGATGCTCAACATCCTCGACTACATCCGCGACCTCGACCCGCAGGTGTACGCCCGCACGCAGTACCGCATCATCGAGATCTCGCCGGCCCTGGCGTCGCTGCAGAAGCACCACCTGCTGTCCACCGCCGACTCGAGGGGCCACGCTTCAAAGGTGGAGATCATCAACAAGTCCATCTTCTCATGGTCGGAGAGAGTCCCCTCGCCGTGCTTCTTCGTAGCCATGGAGGTCTTTGACAACTTCTCCCACGACTGCGTGCGTTACGACCTGGCGACCGAAGAGCCGCTGCAGGGCTCCGTCCTGGTCGACGGCGACAATGACTTTTACGAGTTCTACTCCCCGGACCTGGACCCCGTCCTCGCCCGCCTCCTCCGCGTGCGCGACGCCGCCACGGGCGGCCGGTACCCAACACCGTACCCGGCGAACCGTCTTCTGCGCAACCTAAAGTCCCGCATGCCTCTGATGCCCAACCTCTCGGAGGCGGAGTACGTGCCCACCCGGCTGATGCAGTTCTTCGACGTGCTGGAGAAGTACTTCCCGGCGCATCGTCTTGTGACGAGCGATTTCCACTCCCTCCCGGACGCCATTCCGGGTCTCAACGCGCCTGTTGTCCAGACTCGTTACGAGCGGAAGACGGTGCCCGTCACGACGCCTTTGGTAAGCTCTGAGAACGAGAGCGCTGATGGTAGCTGGGACTATGCTAACCAATCGCAGGTTCACCAGGGCTACTTTGACATCATGTTCCCCACAGACTTCCATGTCATGGAGACCGTGTACCAGGCCATCACGGGTAAGCTCACGAGACTCATGTCGCACGGCGACTTCATGAAGCGCTGGGCGTTCCTCGAAGACACCCAAACGCGCAGCGGGGAGAATCCCCTTCTGAGCTACTACCAGAACGCCAGTGTTCTCGTCACTGTATAAACAACGACCTTGTATAGAGAAAAAGGACATATACCCCGTGGGCCGTGGAAACTCTCTGCGATGGCACATTTAACCTTTTTCATCTTGATGCCGTAAACGTGTGTGAGAGGAACTGCTTTTGATATCTCTTCAAACTACTCCTGTGTGCCCTTACGGGTTCACAACATAACCTTTCCACCCATATGCCTTATCCGTCTAGTTCCTGAACAAAAGTGAATTGGTTGCCGACATGCGCCCATGGCATGCAGCGGGAATATTTTCATCACGCTCAGATGTTGAGCTTCTCCTTGAGCCACCTCTCAGCGGTGGCAACAGCCTCATCGATGTTCTCCGCATTGGTACCCTGTCCCTGGCGGACGGGCTCCTTACCGCCGGACTTGCCTCCAATAACTCCGCTCACCTGGGTAGCCCATTGCTCAGCAGTCACACCCTGGGATGAAAGGTGCTATTACTTGAATTAGCCCGGTGCTCATAGAAGAAGCATATGGTCAACTTACCGTTCCAACATAGACACCGTGGGCGACCGCGCCCTCGTCCTTGCTACCGCCAAACAGGTAGACAGAGCGCTCCTTGTCCTTGGACTGGAAGTGCTTGACAACTTCACCAATAGCCTTGGCGTTGGCGGAAATGGGGAGCTGACCAACGAACCACTTCGAGTCCTTGTTCTTGTCGAAGTGGCCAACGACGGTGTCCAGGGCAGTCTTGGCCTCGGCCTTCTGACGCTTCTTCTGCTCATCCGTGACGGCCTTGACGATCTTCTCAAAGCGCTTCTTGATGTCTTCCTTGGTGAGGGTGGAGATGGTCAGCTGGTTCAGGGCGTGCTGCGTGGTCTTGATCTCCTGCTCCTTGCCGGGGCCGAAGGGCAGGGCCTCAAGGGCATCCAGCTTCTTGGAGAACTCAACAGCCTCGCGCTGGACCTGGTGAGCAGCGTCGCCGGTGTAGGCGATGATGCGGCGGATACCCTTGGCAATACCGCTCTCCTCGACGATGACGAGGTCCTTGATGAGACCAGTCGACTCAACGTGGGTTCCACCACAGAACTCGACACTGTACTTGCGCCACTCTGGGTTCTTGGGGTTCGCGAGCATGGTGTCAACGTCGACACCAACGGAGACGACGCGGACAGGGTTGGGGTAGGTCTCGCCGAAGACAGCGCGGACACCCTCGATGCCGCGGGCAAGGTCGAGGTCGACCTCCTTGGCGTAGACTTTGCCGTTTTGCTTGATGTAGGTGTTGGAAAACTCCTCAATCTTCTTGAGCTCGGGGATCGTCACTCCAGTCTTGTGCGAGAAGTCGAAACGCAGCTTCTCGTTGTCGACCAAAGATCCCTTCTGGTTAATGTCATCGCCGAGCACCTCACGCAAAGAGTGGTTCAAAACGTGAGTACCGGTGTGGTTGTTGCGGATAGGAGATCTCCTCAGCTCGTCGTACTCGCAGATAACCTCATCACCGGAGGACAGAGCGCCGTACTCGAGGTAACCGTTGTGGACGATGTACCCTCCAAAGTTTTGAACGTCAAGAACCTTGAACTCGGCAACATCGTCAATGACGATGCGGCCAGTGTCAGCAACCTGGCCACCGGACTCGGCGTAGAAGTTCGTCTTGTCGAGAAGCAGACCCAATGGGGTCTTCTCAGCGAGGTCCTTGGTGGACTTGACGAAACCCTTGCCATCGTAGATGACCTGCACCTTGCTCTTGGCATCGCCCTTGCCGAACTTTGCCTCATCGTCTGTCCTGGCGACGTTGAGCTCCTTCTCGAGCTCAGCAATCTGGTGGACGTTGAGCTTGGCGAACGTCTGAACAGCGCTCTTGACGACCTTGCTAGCCTCGCGGGCCTTCTCCTGGGCCTCCTTTACCTCATCCTCGTCAATCTCGAGCTGACGCTCCTCAGCCATGAGCTTGGTCAGATCAACAGGGAAACCGAAAGTGTCGTACAACCTCCATACGACAGCACCGGAGAGCTTCTTCTCGCCCTTCTTGAGAGCTTCCTTGGCATACTTCTCGAACTGGGCCTCGCCACGGTCCAGAGTACGGGCGAAGGCCTCCTCTTCCTCGTCGAGGATCTCCTTGATGTCCTGCTGCTTCTTGACAATCTCGGGGAACTGCTCACCCATCTGCTCAACGAGCGCAGGGAGAATCTTGGAGAAGAAGGAGCCAATCTCGGCGTTGAAGTACTTGCGGGCATATCTGACACCACGGCGGAGGACTCTGCGGACGACGTATCCACGGCCATCGTTGTTGGGAACAGCACCGTCAGACATGGAGAAGGTGAGGAGACGAATGTGGTCGGCAATGACACGGTAAGCAGTGTCAATGCCGTCAGTATCGTCAGCGCCGTACTTGTCGGTGTACGGCCTAGCACCAGTAACCTCCTCTATCCTCTTGAACAGGGGGGTGAAGATGTCGGTGGCGTAGTTGGAGACGGTGTTCTGGAGAGCAGAGACGAGACGCTCGAAGCCCATACCAGTGTCAACGTGCTTAGCGGGGAGGGACTTCAAGCTCTTGTCGGCCTGGCGGTCAAACTGGATGAAAACGTTGTTCCAGACCTCCACAACCATAGGGTCGTCCATGTTGACCAAGCTCGCAGCGTTGCGGCCGCCAATCTTGTCGTAGTGAATCTCACTGCAAGGACCGCAAGGGCCCTGGTCGCCCATCTCCCAGAAGTTGTCCTTCATGTTACCGGGCAGGATGTGATCTTCGGGGACACCGACAGACAGCCACAGGTTCTTCGCCTCCAGATCCGGCTCAAGACCCATGGCAGGGTTGCCCTCGAAGTAGGTGACGTACAGACGAGCAGGATCGAGTCCGTAGACCTTGGTGAGAAGCTCCCAGGACATCTCAATTGCCTCCTTCTTGAAGTAGTCGCCAAAAGACCAGTTGCCTAACATCTCGAAGAAAGTGTGGTGGTAGCTGTCCTTGCCGACATCGTCAAGGTCGTTGTGCTTGCCGCCGGCGCGAATGCACTTCTGAGAGTCGGCCGCACGCTTCAGAGTGTACATGGGATCGGCCTTGGAGATCGTTCCGAGGAAAATGGGCTTGAATTGGTTCATGCCCGCATTGGTGAAGAGCAAGGTGGGGTCATTGTGAGGGACGACGGAGGAGGAGGGCACTGCAGCGATAACGGCGGAGGTTAGCTGATTGAACTTGTACAATCACAAGGATGCAACGGAGGAAGAGGCATTGCATGATCAGCGCAGACATGTGCGCGATGCAGCATCATGGTGTTGTTGGTGGGAGTGTGGTGATATCGTACCAATGGTGTGGCCCCTCTTCTCGAAGAAGTCGAAGAAAGTCTTGCGCACGACGGCGCCGGGCCACTGCTGCTCAGCCATGGTTGCAGTAGAGGAAGTCGGGGAAGAAGAAAAGCGCCTCTGCCAGGGGAAAACCCTCGATGCGATTAGTCCAGACGGAGGCGTGACGGTGTTCGTCTGGAATCTGACCGGCGTTCTCTTGCGAAGATTGGCGGTGGTGGAGGGAGTGGTGGGAGAAGGCGAAATATCAGGGTCGCCGGCGCGGCGGGTGTGACTCTTGTTGCGGGACGAGCTTGTTAGTGCTGCAGCTGGTGCTGATGCTGGGCTTGGTGCATTGCCTCGGACTTGGGGTAGGAGGGGCAGCGACGGCAGCGATAGCGGGACACTGGGCTGCTGCTGGTGCGGGAGCGGGTGGTGGTGCAGGGCGGTAGTTGACGAAGGGGTTGCTTCGGCGCTTTTGTAGAAACTTCTACAAGAAGTCGAATGAGTCAAATGCGGTACAAAAGCGCCAGAGCTCCTGCTCCTCCCCAGCTGTCCCCCATGGCTGCAGCTCCGCGCCAGCGAACGCGCCCCTAGCACGAGCACAGCAGCTTTGGTCATTCCCCCTCAAATACCACAAAAGGCCACCAGCGAATTGCGATCCCGACGCAACCGTCGATTGTCTCCTCTTTTCCTCACTCCAGCTCCTCTGGAGAACGACCAACGACCCTTCAGCTGTAGCCACAAGCGACCGAGCTCCTTTCAGCAGAGAAACGCCTTGTCGGAATCCAGGCCCAGCCGGACGTATATCCGCCTTGAACCTTCGCCGGTGTCGGGTTTCTTATCGCCTCTCTTTGGCCCTGGTCTTCCGCCCGTCGACCTGAACTCACTCGAGCTTACGCTTTGCGACGGGATATTCCCTTTTCCACACCACCCACCTTTCGGGAAAACCAGCTCAGCGGTCAGCGTATTCCTCTTCACACCTCCGCGCGCACCCGATTGCGGCGTCCGTCGTCCCACGCTGCGTTTTTCGTTGTGTCTCTCCGTGCTGCGATCCTAGTGGCCGGCCTCGAGCTCTGCGTTTAATTGAACATTCTCGTCGACTCTGGTTCGTTGTCGTCGTGCCGGGTCGGCAGTTGCGGTTCGAGTTTTGAACGGGGTTAGGAAGTTGGCGAGGCGGGAAGAAAAAGTTCCAGCGAGACCCGGGCTCTAGAAGCAGCCGCCCCTAAAATGCTGTTGCACGGGGCCCAATCGCCCTCCCACGCCCTGGATGCCCACGCCCTGGAGGCGGACCAGCACCAACATCAACAGACGAGGCAGTTGAGGCGCAAGAGGAAGGCCGAGTCTCAGGACAATGAGCGGTTGTCCAAGAGACTCAGTCTGTTGAATTTGGGTAAGCCACAATCCCCTCTTCTTGACTTTGTTTCAAAATGCATTGCTGACTGCCATGCAGAGAAGAATGGCCAAAAGCTCTACGTTCCCGTGGAGAATCCCATCGCCTCCGCATCAAATGCATCCCCAGACGTCGTTCCGTCAGCAACACCGTCAAGCACACCGCACAGTGGTCGTCGCCGCCGTGACCGCAAACCCCCTGCAGATGATGAGGTGATGCAGCTTGACGACTCAAAGTACAAGGTCTACATTTACGATATTGACGACGAGCTGTCTTCGTCTGAGAGCGAACCCGAAGAGGGCAAACTAGTCTTCCTGCCGGATATTGAGAAGCACCTGCGCGCCACTCGCATTCCCCCTCATATCCTCGCCAACGACGAAGGCCAACTCGCTGGCATGCAGATGGTCCTCTACAACGAGCCCACGTCGCTGACCATCCCCCAAGAGCAAGACAGCGTCCGCAAGGCCATCGTCGAGTCTCGTGCCCGCATGCGTGAGAGACAGCGTCTCGAACGTGAGGGCAAAGGCGAGCCGGTGCAGACGCCCCCGCCGTTTATTCCCCTACAACACATTCCTCCCCCGCCCGCCGCCGAATTCGTATCCGCCCCTCAGGCTTCGGCACCTGTAGATTACGACCCCGATGCCATGGACATGGACTAGCAAGCACCTTTTCAGGCAAGTAAACATTTGAGAAACTATGTATATATACACATAACGATATCCACGGCTGTAAGGCGGGGCGAATCGGCACGAATAGCCGGGCCAGCGAAGCGTTTTTATGGCATCATTTTTTGATCTTATTGTCATGGTTACTGCTTTGTACGATTTACAATAGTTATAGTCATCATATCGAGACGTTGAGCCTCGCAATCGCACTGGACATCCAGCCTCTGAGTGCGTGAGAAAATACAAAGTAGTCTTTCATCATGATTCTGCTCGCCGTCTTCATCATCTCATCTTGAACCAGCAAATGCTTCTTCTTCTTCTTCCTCTCCCCGACGCTTCGCCATACACGCTTTCCTTCCGAAACACCAAATCACTGCGCCCTGTAAGGATACGACTGGCCAGTGTGGTTTGCCGGCATGGCGGCGGGCGGAGGAGGCGGGCCCGGGGGCGGGGTGATGCCGTACTCCTGCGACGGGTCGACCTTGGAGCCTCCGTCGGGGGGAGCGTACATCGGCGGCCTCGCGGCGTTGGGGTCGTACGTCGGGGGCGGCATGCCCTGCATCCCGTAGTAGCCCTGCTGCTGCTGGTAGTACTCGGGGCGGTAGTTGTTGTACGTCGCCTGCGGCCAGGCGTAGCGGCTGTCGACGCGGGCGAGCTGGGCTCTGCTGAACAGCCAGCGGTGGTAGCCGAGAGGGAGGAGGCCCTTCTTGAGTCGCCTCTTGCCGTGCATGTAGCCGATGATGAGGAACGCGGCGAAGAGCGTTGTGAGGCCTAGGAAGACGGACCACTTGACGATAACGCCTGTCTGCAATGTATGTTAGATAAGTTCACTCGGCGATAAACAGCGTTTCGATAAACTTACCCTGCTGTACCACCATGGAATAGCACGACCATTCTGGATGACCCAACCGGGAGGCAAGTCGTTGGCGTTAACGACGGTTTGACGAGCGTCCAACATGGCGTAGGCGCTCATGATGTGTGAAGTGTGTTATAAAAAGTAGCGATCGTCGCCCTTATTCCTCCTTTCCAATCCTTCCCTTCGCCAAGCCAGTCAACGATCCCGCTACTTCGCTGTCGTCGAGCGTGGCTTGTAGACGCTTGTTGTTGATGTGGTGGGAGTGGGCCGCAGATCAACTACCGCAGATCAACACGCCGGATGGGAACCAACAAAGTCGGATTGGGGAGGGGACGATGTTTGGTTCGTGGGATGTCAAAGTAGTGTTCAAGACTAGCGCCAAGAATTCAGTTGATGCGGGAGGTGATTTATTTGAATCAAGCAGGAAAACTAAAAAAGACGAACGCGAAAGAGAGTCGAGGACCTTATTTGACGGGCGAGGAAGGGAACAGGCAGGGCCTGGAACCGAGCAAACCAGCCACCCATACAAAACAACCCCCGTCTCTTCTTGCTCTCGGACATGGGGTTGGGTCCGGGTGCAGAGGTGGTGCTCGCGCAGGCGGGCGCGCTGCGGTCGGCCAACTTTTTTTTGGGTTTTGCTCCATCGCATGGTTAACTCTCTTCACTTCTCTACTGCGGTACTGAGTGTGCTCCATAGTAAAGGTACACTAATCTAGGCATTCTGCGGAGAAAGGGGTGGTTGGATGTTGATTTTGGTGTTTCCGGGTTGGCTACCTCTCGGAAACCCGTCTTTCATTGGCCTGTCCGACATGAAAGGTGGGACAGAGATCTTCCCTACGAGCCGCCAACCTGCCGTTCTGGCGAAGCTTGTCGGGGAGCGGGTGCTAGGCGTGGCGATGACCGACCGGTACGTGCCTGATCTGCGGCAGCGCTGGTGCACCAGAACCGTTTCATCCCTTTCGGGTCCGACGACCTGGCGAGGCTTAGAGGCAGCAACAGAGACCACAAGACGGTCGCTGTCGCCCATCGCCCAGCGGGCCGGCGACAACAGGGCAAACACGATACACTCTGCGCCCGACGTTGCGAAGTTCGAAGCCGTTCAGCCGTGTTTGTCGCTGCCCGCGGCCAGCAGCCCAGCCAGTCGACCCCAAATCACGACCAGAAACACCACCGGGAGGCGGATGCATATACTCGACAAGACGGCCTAATGTCCCCACGAACAGGTCCACAACGCTTGGAAACCCACTGGTGCTTGCACCTTTGCACCTCTCTTTTTCCGATGGATCCAGACGAGAGTCATTGGTCGGCAGCTTTGTTGTAGATGCCGTCACATACCGTAGCATTCCCTCCTCGGAGCGAAGACGATGCGGAAACCCTTTCTGCCCCTCGCTGAGTCGCTGATTATGGCCTCACTCGCGATATTCCCTCCCCCCATCGCCCACGCCGAACCGGGCACTGAGTAATAACCACCGGCCGCCAGAACCGGAGACATTAACAGGCATCCTGTGGTCTTAATAACACACTGACCACCGCTGATGCATACCGAATGGACAGGAAGATCGGATCATCGGCTGCGTCAGCCACGGTGCCATCATCAGCTGGGCATGGTTCAGAGACGCAGAGAGGAGGCGAGAACGAAGGGGACGTGTGTCTGCATGTAATCAGCAACCCAGCGCTGAGGTGGTCTCTTACTGCGTGGAACCCGAGTTCCCGATTCTCATATGGCCCAGGCTGGTGCATACCACCAGCAGCCAGACGCATGACCCTGATGAGCAAGATAAGGCTTAGACGAGTGTACGGCGAAGCTTGATTGAAGTAAGGCACGTAGCAGATCCGGGAGACCCTGGCATGATCAACCTGCTCGTCCAAGCCTTCTCCTCTTCAAGGCGAGAGGGGGGAGGGGCCGCAGCACCAGTCGACGAGCAGCAGCAGCACCACCATACCTAACCGCTTGCCGAAAAGCACAGGCACAGACACATACACGGGCACAGGCGAAAGGTGGAAAGAATAGAGTTGTTGTGCGCACTTTCCTTTTCATCTCGTTTTCCGCGCCCCTCCACTTCGACGACGTAGGGCTGTTCTGCCGGAGCTAATTAGCAACAGACCCCGTTGCCCGCGTTATGCTTAGAAAAGTCAATCCACCTCGACCGATTCCGCGGTTCACTGGGTGGTTTGGTCTCGGGCCCTTTGTGCCGTAACTGTAGCATCTGCCCAACCAATCCCATCTTCAAGATGGAACAAATAAAGTCGAGATAGCCACCTCCCTCTACCAACGTAAAATCTTCGGGAAGGGTCTCGAATTGGAGCTAAACGTCGGGCTGCTCCGAGCGCGGGAACGTCACGGAAGGCGTTTGTCGTGGTGTGCAGTCTTGGCGAGCAGACGAGAGCCTGCGTACGGCAAGCTTGTCGCTCAGCCGTCCCTCCACCATCCGGTGTCCTCATCGTAGCCAATGACTTCGAAATCAATATTCATGCTCTTCAGCATCGTTCCCAGAGTGAACTCCTGCAACATGTCAGTTACCCGCGTGTCTCCTCCATTGGATCAGAAGGTCTCACCGTGTCTTCATCCTCGTCTCTATCGTCCTTGTCTCCGTCATTCTCGGCTCCGACGTTGTCTGGTGAGCATCCATCCTCCTTGTCGGCATCCTCATCTCGATCTCTTTTAGGTTCCTCCTCCATCATCCGTTCCAAAAAGCTCTTCTGCTCCTCCCTCCTCGTCTTCCTCCAAGCTTTCATCCCACCCATGCTCTGAACCCTTTCCTTGGACGCCTCAAACACCTCCTCAGCAGCCTGCCGGCTCGCCGCCCTCCACTTCGCAATCAGCACGACCAGCTCCTCGTCCGTCTCGGACTCGGCACCGGCCCGTCCTCCTCGGATCCGCTCCGCCTGTCTGATGATCTCCTCGCGGCCCGCCACATCCCGCGCAGTCCTAATACCCGTCGGTGTGCCGTCGCCCGTCGTTCTCAAAGGCGAGGGTGAGACTCCGCGCTGAGGCCGCGACAAGCTGAACGGACGACGGGTGGGCGTGCTGAACTGCTTGGCGGGGGTCGTGAGCTGGATCCCGCTCCTTTGTGCCGTGGCACCTGTAGCGCTACCGCCGCACCGGATCGAAGATGAGTTTGTATCGACCGCATCTGTTCGTGGCGACGATGCGGTAGCGTCTCCCGCTGCCACGTCGCGGTCGCGCACTACCGCCGGTGACTTGAATGGCTTCCGTAGCGTGTTGCTTGCATCATCGAGCCGTCGCCTTTTGGCTGCTGGTGTGTACATTGTCAGATAAATGATGCTTGTTCAGAAGAGCCGGAATGTCATTGCGGTTCCACTCCGTCATGGCGCTACCGAGGAGTTGGTTAAAGTGGGAGTCCCTCCCGCTTCCAATATTAGATTGTTGTTAGCGGGTAGTTTGAACGGAAGCCCATACCTGCCGCCAGACATTCATTCGCTTATGAGCAACATCAGCCTCTCGCTTCAAAAGACTCCTCTGCAGGGTTTTGTGTCCAATTCTTTCCCGAGTCCAGCGGGACGTGCATCACTGCGTTAACAAGGGCGTGGCCAATCGGTAGCCACCCACCTAGTGGCTTCTCATGATCTTGGCCCGGCAGGTCATAGCTCACGTCATTAAGGAACACATAGAATAGTTCAGATCAACACTCATTAAAACTGGCCAACCAACCACTGACTAGATAATCTACAATAAAACACCAAACGCCCCTGGATCCTCCTCTCTTCCTGCCTTTGATCATCTCACATATGTCCCATGTGCACATCAAATCCCATGAGCCGTTTCGAGGATGAGAACCTTCCTCCCAAACAAAAACAAAAGATTAAAAATCAAAATAAAACAATACTTGTCCGTGTCCCTTTTTGCGCCTGTACAATGCAGCTTGGTAATCCACCAGACATAGAAGAGAACGTGGACTAAAAAAACTTTACGTGACGCTAATGCCGTGAAATGAAAGGAAAGAGGTATCATAGAACCAAATGCACTCCATATTTGGTCTGAAGGAGGCCAGAATGCAGGTAAGATGGTACAGAAATGCGGCAAGACGAAGGGATATCAAAGCTTTAAGAGTCAACCCTGACCCTCTTGGGCTCGTTGCCGACGTCGGGCCCATCGTGGGGCCCGGTTGCGCTGATTTCGGGACTCTTGCGCTTGGTGCTGGTGGCATTGTCGTCCCTCAGAAAACTGGGACCTGAGCCAACCACAGGAGTCGCGAAATTCAATGGGCTAGGCAGAGTGTTGCTGTCACTGCCACCACGCGAGTACCACTCGGGGTAGAAGCTGCTCGGGCTTGGGAGGAATTCATTGTTCAGGAATCGGGAGGGGAGAGCAGAGACGGGCGTGTCGATGTTCATGTTGCTGTTCATGTTGTTGTTGTTTTGCTGCGGCGGCGGCCGAGCAAACGGGTTGGGAGGGCCCGTGGCACCGGCTGACAGGAGCGTCTGGGCGGACGGGGATGGCGGTGGCAGCACCATACCGGAAGAGTGCGAATCGGATGCATGGCGCCGAGTCGTCTGGGATGTAGCATCTGTCGAGTTGCGAGGAGAGTTTGACTCGGCAGTTGCGCTACCGCCATCCGAAGGTTCGTCGGGAATCTCCACCCTCAAACGGGGACGCGCACCACCTCCAATCTTCATGCTATTGGTGCGAGAAGGTGGAGTAAACGTTGTCTCTGGGATAGACGACACGGAAATGTTGCGAGTCTTGTTTAGCGACGTAGAGGTGGCGCGCTGAGGCAAAGGTGGAGACGAGGTAGATCCATTGGTCCTAGAGACAGCGCCGACATCAACAGATTGGGAGCGGCTGCCTTCAATCTTGATGTTCGCCTGGTCTGGCAGCTGAGGACCTTTCCCGTTGCTTTGATCGGAGGCAAATGAAGCCAGGTGCTGGGAAAGAATAGAGCGGTTTTCGTCAATGGGCGTGAAGATGCTGTGTTGCTTGCGCTGCGGCAGCTTCTTAATAGCACTGTCGGTGTTCAATAATGGCGGCTGAGGTCTATCTTGAGCTTCAGATCGCGGCTCCATTGGGGCCGGCATCGCGGTCTCCTGCGGTTGCGGCGGCGGCGGCGGTAGTTGCTGCTGCTGAGGCTGGGGCTGAGGCTGGTGCTGAGGTTGAGGTGACGGGTGCGGCGGCTGCTGTTGAGGCTCAAGCTGCTGAGGCTGTGGCGGCGGGGGTGAGATGTGCGGCGGCTGAGGAGGCAACTGCTGAGTGGGAGGCTGCGGCGGAGATGGCGAGATCCGAGAAACCTGAGGTCCTGGGCCTTGTGGCGGTCCCTGCGGTTGCGGGTAGTTGGGCGGCATGGAGCGACGCTGCTCTTCGATGTACTGCTGCATGTGCGGGGGATGAGGGTTCGGCGGGTACTGAGGATACTGAGGGCCGTGTTGGGGAATTCCGTGAGGCATGTTAGGCGGCATGTTGGGCTGGTTTTGCGGGTTGTAGATGGCCGGGTTGGGCATGTAGGCGAAACCGTTGACAGGAGGTTGCTGAGATCCAGGAGGGCCGACGGGCTGAGGGCCCATGTTCGGACCCATGCGGCGGATGTCTTGCCTGGAAGCGGGACGCGATCCCATTCCCGGTTGCGGCGTATGCCCGCGTTGCACGGGATGCCCGGGGTGTTGAGGGAAGGGCATACCATTAGGAATAGGCGGCGAGGCTGACGGGGTGTGGTGTCGCATATGGGGGAACGGCGCTTGTCCTTGAAACTGAGGGGGGATCATCTGGGGCTCCATTGACTCTCCGTGGGGAGGCGTGCCATCGCCCTCCTCATCTTCGTCTTCGTCGTTGCCGCCGTTGAAGTCAGAGGGGCCCTTGTGCTCGTTCGGGCCGCCGTGCTGCGCGAGGGTTAGCCTCTAGTGATCGCGACGTGCTCTTTCGTCTGCGACTTACGTATGTGTATCTGGTGATCATCTCTCGCATGTCTGTGGAGGAATACTCGTACAGCTTCTTGTTGCTGCCGAAGATGAAGACAGCGACGTCTACTGAGCAGAGGACGGAAAGCTCGTGCGCCTTCTTGAACAGACCGCCCTTGCGCTTGAGAAAGGTGCTGTATGCGACGCGACAAGTCAGCCAAAAGCCGCAATAGATCACGACGAGCGCGGGGTGGCAAGCTTACACAGAGCGGTTTCTGTCATCCTTGATGGCTTTGATCTCGATCTTTCTGCGACCCATCTTGACCCGGACGCTCTACGGAGCTACTGACGCGGGTGGATGGTGTATGGGAGGAGGGGTTTGGGGGTGGTACCGGGCCGAGGTCGAGGTCGAGGTCGAGGGAAACGACGTCGAACCGATTGGCAAGAGAGCGGCGGCGGCGGCGGCGGCGGCGAGGTCTCAGGCGGTGCGTCGACTGATCCTGTCGAGGTGACTCGCGAGACAAGTTGAGGCTCGAGGAGGCGAGCGTGATGGTTTTCGGAGCAACAAGCTTGGCTGGTCAACTGGAGCGGAAAGCAAAAGTTTGGCCGGGGAGGGCTGATTGCTTTTATCTAAATGGCCTGTCTCGTGGGCTGTAATCCCCAACTGGTGATCCGTCAGTCGAACTGGTTCGCTTGGTGGGCAGGGACAAGGCAGCGCAGCGCATCCCGGGGTCTTGGGGATCTGAAGCGATGCAGGCGTTGGGGTTTGGAGCAGGGGAGAGCAGCTCAAGATGCGTCAAGAGAACGTACATTGATCCCATTACAAGTGCAGATGCGACAGGTCTGGGATGGACAGGCGTTGTGGTGCAGGTCGATGGGGCTGAATCTGGCGTGGATGATTCTAATAATAGACGCGATCGTGTTCACCTTTTTTTCCTGGGAGCGCGGGAAGACAGACAGGAAGGAGGGAAGGGGAGGGAAAGAAAAAAAGAGAGAGGGTGGTGGCAGCAGCAGCAGCAGTAGTTAGGTAAAGGGTACGGTACAGTTGCAGCGGAAGGGGGTATCAGCCAGTCAGAAGAGTAGAAACACAGAAGCAGCTTGATGACTTTTGGGAAGGGGAATGGAAAGACAAGGGGATGTGTGGTGGATGATGGGATGGGATGGGTTTGACGGAGTGGGAAGCGTGGGAGCAGAGCGAACTGGGAAAGGACGTGGAAAAAAAGAATGGGCGGGGGGTGTGCTCCAGTACCAGTACCCGGCACCGTTCCTTGCCTACGCAGTACCTTACTCTGTCACTTGTGTGTGTGTGTGTTTGTGTGTGCGCGCGCGCGGTGTCGATTGGTGGTGTGGTGTGGTGTGGTGTAGGTAGTCTTGAAGGCGGGCAGCAGAGAGAGTGAGAGTGAGAGTGAGAGTAAGGCAAGGAAGGTACCTCGCAGGCGGGAAGAACTGAGGTGAGGTGAGGGAGGTACCAAGTGTGCAGGCATATGGCGGGCCAGCGGCCCTCTTCTTGTCTCCAGGCCCTGCAGCCTCCACTTTGCAGCCGTCGGTCAGCTCCTGTGCTCCCAAACTCGACGAGTGTCTCCCCCGCCCCTTGTGCCCGCCGTCAAGCTTGAAGCCAGCCGGCCGCCGCCCTCCACCTGAACCTCGCACCTCACCTTCGTCCTCACCACCACCGACAGGGCAAGGTCGCGAGGCTCTTGGTACGTGCGTTCTATGACTGGGGGTCCTGGTGGCCGTTGCGGACGCTCGTGAAACGACAACTTCAGGAGGCAGGGAATGAGATGGGAGCTGAGACTGGCCGCCCGCACTGTCTGGGCCTGCGACGGAACGCATGTGTCGTACCGTGTGCAGATGCAATCTCCACCGATGTCCTGCGCACTGTATCAGGGTCTGGTGGGTCTTCAGGTACTAGCCCCGGCCGGGAAAGGTACCGGCCACCATCGCGACGGCGTCAGAGCTAGTGAGACACTGCAGAAAAGATACCTGTGGCAGGTGTCGTCGAGACATCTGACGTCTAGCCGACGTGAGGTGCGTGCGACGTGACGGTGCCGCCTGGCAATTAATTGCGGATACCTCTCTATGCTCTCTACAGAGAGAGCACTATGCTAACCTCCCACCTCTCCTCCAAAGAAGCAGGAGCTTGCGCCGGTGGTGGCAGCAGCTCCACGGGCGGGCAGAATTAATCGCAATGCCGGCGTCGACTCGCTCGAGTCGACTCGAACTCGACTCTGGCTCCACGGAAATCGATAACGACAATCCCAATCCGCCCGAGACACCGGAGCCATTGCCGGACGCCTCCCCCCTTGAACCTTACCTGGACTTGTGTAAGTAGGTACACGGCAGTACGTGGTCCAGCCAGCAACTCAACTCACCACCACCAACCCAATTCCCGTCATCGGTGACGGAATCTGCTTTCACAACAGTACTATGTACAGCCCAGGCAAACCTACCTGCGCACAAACGCATAACCTCCCTAAGGCTGGGCAGGCCCCACGGCCAGGAGGGAGGGTGGGAGGGAGGCTGTCATCCACCACCAAACAACGTGCCCGGGCCGCAGATTGAGCCTCTCTTCCGCCGCCGGCGCAGGAACGAGAAACTTGCGTCCAGGCACAGTTACACGCATACAGACTGACTTACACCAATGCCACACCAGAGCCGCTGCCAGAGCCACGGCCACGGCAGCACAGGGCACCCGATACCGCCGCTCCGCCGCCATCTGCCATCCTTTGTCAAGTCAGGTACCTTACCTAGGTATCTCAGACCTACCTTATCATGTTGTATTCGAAACCACCTCACCTGTTATCGATATCTCTACCCTCAACGGCTTTCCCGTCTCGTCGGACAATTGAGTTCGACCCTCTCCCTTGGCGCGGGCGGACTGTGGTCAGAGGACGGGGGAAAACACTCAGACACAAACACTTGTGTAAACCCTCCAATGCCCCTTTGTTTTCCTCCCCCTTCCCTCATGTCTTCCCCTGGCCGACGACAATGCGAGGCCATCACCAAACAACGCAAATTTCTGGTTCCATAACCAGCTTGCCTAGACCTCCCATCCCCGGACGGGCCCCTCATCCTCCCGTGCGAGGGGCCAGGTCCCTTCGACCCCCTCCCCCCTCCTTCGGCGAGCCAGAAGTGCGCATGTCACCTTGATTCCAAAAGGGAACCAACCATGACAGCATGCATTGGACCGGCCTTCCCGCCGAACGTAAGTTTGAGTCCCAAATCGGCCGGGCCATTGACAACGTCCGCCCGCTCCCATGGTTCTGACCCGTAGATCTCGCTTCACATCCATCAAAAAACCCTCGTCTACATCCCGCGCCTGGTTTGACGAACCCAGTCGCCCATCATCTTGAATTAGATACACTGCTCCACCCACGACGATACCCCGCGTCCATTATTGCCCTGTCAACCCTGAACCACATGCACCCATTCGCACCGCGAGCCGCTGTCTCTTGTTTTGAGAGACGGCATCTCTCCCCACCTTGGTTGGGCATCTCGCCTCCGTCTTACCATTCTGGCTCCTCCCGTCAAAACATCGAAAACGTTCAAAACAACAGCCAAGAAGAAGAAGCTAAAAACAAATAAAGCCAAGAGATAGAGATCTTGCCAGAAACGCCAATCCTCGCTCAGATCCCTATGAAGATAGCATCATTTTTGCGGTGCTGCTGCTCCTCGATCATACAAGCCTGTGACCGTTGCTGTAAGACTAGACGTCGAAAAAGACGACCCAAGAACGCGGCCCAGGGAAAGAAGGGTAACCACCACTCGGATGTCCATCCTCACATGCAACAAACTATCTTCGTCTCTTTTTTTTTTTTTGCTACCATCAGGATATTCAACGCAACCCCGGTCAGTCTAACTTTACCAACACGGAGCAACTTGCCATCTCTTCTCAACAATTCGTCCGAGGAGAACGGCGTCGCAATCTCGACCCCGTCACCAAAACGCCATCCCACTTTTTTTCTGTTCATTCGAAATAACCATATGATTAAGTTAAGCGCCGGCGTGCCGTCAGTGACATGACGCTAAACCAACTTGTCCGGGGGGGTTTCCACAACGGAGCGAGAGAGCCTCCATAGACTTGGTTGCTTCACCATTGGAGCCAAGCTTACGTTGGGAGATTTCCCCTTCCATCGAGATTAGTCGGTCCGTTGGCGTTCGACCAAAGCTCCATCAGAGCTAACGCAATCGTGCATCTCGCAAGATGAGGGGGAAGAGAATTGGAGAACCGAGAAAAAAAAGGTTCCTCCACCTCATCCTCATCCTCCTCCACCGCCAGGACAGCCTTCTCTCTCTGTGTGTCTGTCTCTCCTTGTGACGGTGTGAGGTCGACCATGCATGTTTCGACGGTGGAAAAGGCCAAGACAGGAACGTTCCTGGGCGCAACTCGCAAGCCGATTGGCAGCCGCCGAAGCAGAAAGTCCTGCACATGTTCCTTCCATATGCCTGTCTTGCTGCCCTTCTCCTCCCCCCTCCCCCCTCCCCTACACTACACCTCGGTGTCAAGGTCACATCCCAGTCCCAAGGGCCAGTTTCTAAAAATATCCTATTTTTAGCATTAGCGTGAGAACGCTCCGCAGCCACGCGACCTTGACGGTGTGGTCGTTGCTTCGTCCCGGGCCAATTAGCCCGCACCCTTGCCGTACTGTACCACCTTTTTTGTGGGTAAATTGTGTCGCCCGTCGCTGAACCGACCGAACTGACTGGACATTTCCTCGCCTTGCTCTGGCTTGCTTGCCTTGAACCTGTATCACCGCCGCCAACACCACCACCATACACAGACACACACACACACACACACACACACACATTTCCAAGGCCATGCACGTCGTCCTCGTCTGACTCCTGTTGGCCTTTCCCTCCGTTCCATATTTCTCCTAAGGCTGTAAGGCAACGCTGGCTTACATGGCACCTCGTCATCATCAGCAAGTCATCGGTGATTTCAGCAACCAGCGCATACGCAGCACATAGGTTTGGGCCGCTAAAACCATCGTTGTTTGTGCCCTTTTCTTCCTCGTCATTGTTACATCGACACACACGCATCCTTCCATGCTCCCCCGTCCCCCCTCACGCGCCCCGTTCAGGTCTGTTTTGCCCGATTCGCCAATCTACTCAATGTGATACAAAGTCAGTCGTTAGGAAGAACCCCCCACCCGACCTGTCTACCCGTCGTCTGTCGTCAAGACCCATGTTTTGCTGTGCCGCATCTCGTTCCCCCGGTCAGCCAGCCATCGAACAATGTACACTCTTGGCCAATACCAGCCTTCTGAGCCTCCTGATATCCCCCTTCCCGCGTCGTCCACCCACACCACACCAATTGCGTACCTTACTGCTGCCCTCGAGCAACAGTCACCGCATGGGGTATTCCAGGATACTCGGCACAAGTCAGCTGGTGTAGTCTTCTTCACATTGCATTTCAACTTGTTGGAGCTCTGTCACTCAAATGATTTTCGTGTGATTAGCTGCTCGCCTGGCGGCTATGGGCTAAACTTAACAACACCAGACGCCGTGCCGATGCATCATTACATGCTCTGATTTGCTGAACCGCTTGCAAAACCCTTCCCCGGCCCCGAGTTCCACGTTTTCGGGAGATTTCTCCGTATGTGCTGCCCAGTAACAATGTTTCCATAACCCAAAGTCCACGACTGAAAAGCCGATTCCCAATCTCCATAATCCACATCCCCGCAGGAGTCAATTGTACGATTCCAATTTTGGATACTTCAGTCCAACCCCACGTCTGAGGTTTTTCTGGTCCAGACGCGCCCTACTACCTCCATGTCCCTGGCGGTTTTTGACATCAACATCAGGTTGTTGGTGTTGTGCCTGAACCCCATGCGGGAATCACTTGGCGTAGCCCTATTGTTAGCAACCGGGGACGGTTGGGTGTGGGGATCTTCCCCGTTCTGGAACGTTCGTCGGTAGTCAAGCGGCTGGCTGCAAGAGAGTCGCAGATTATTGGTAAGCGCCGGGAGCAGGTACCGGCCGTCCGGTCCTGTTGTCGTCTCAACCATAATCCGGTATGCGACGCTGCAACGTCTGGTCTGCCGCAGCTTAGACAGCTGCCACCGGTTTTCGTCCGAACCTGGCGCCGTCGATTATTGCCCGGGTGAACCGGCGTTCGCTGCTGGCGCGTTGTACATGCCGAAGCCACCGTGCTCTGCAATACCGTTATCGGTTTTCATAGTGCCGTTGAGCATAGGACAAAGCCTTTGGTTAAAACTGTCAGCCAACTGTTCGTTTGAGGGTCGAGGTCGAGAAAGCAAGCAGGAAAGCGAAATGCGACGAAAAAACAAGCTAGAAATGAGAAAAACCGAAAAGAAGCGAAGAAATGATGCGTGGGAAACCATCGCCAAGGGCTGCCAAGATCAGATGACCCTGGGCTTGACGTTCTGCCAGTATGGATTATGGCTGTATTTGTTATACTTGTACGTCTTGCGCCTTGGCTTAGGTGCCTTCGGCTGTCCCTTGGACACCTCAGGAGTTCTGGCCTTGTGGCTTCTGGCCTTGGGTTCGCGGCTTTGACGCTCGCGGCTTTGCCTTGGAAGGACTGGCTTTTGCGGGGCTCTGCGCGGCCGGCGCTTGCGAAGCAGCTTTGCCTTGAGCTTGAACCGCCTTGCCCCAGTCCTGAAGAGGCTCCGCAGATCTGATGTTGGGCGGGGATGACTTTGAAGAACAGCGAGGGCAATACTTTTTGTTGGTTTTGATGTGGCCGACCTGTCCACAATTGGCACACTTGCGGGTTGTGCCCGTGGCCGCTCTGTCTGCTTCGGGTGAGCCAGCGTCGAGGCCGGACTTTGATCGGTGGAGTCCTTTTTGTTGCTCTCGTCCGATTCGTCGTTGTTTGTTTCGGTTGAGCCGTTCGAGCTCCTTATTAATTCTGCTAGGACGTCAATCAAGTGCTCAGCATCTACGGAAGGGTACTGCTTACTCGACCAGTCGGCGATGATCGTCGTCAGCGACTCCGGTCGGTCTTCCTTCGTAGATGCTAGAGGCACGTAAATGTAAGCAGGGATCGCATGAAGATTGAATAATAGACCTGATATAGGGTCGAGAGGGGGGAAGCGTGATGGGAAACCGTACTTGAAGTCCTCCAACTCCAGTTCCTTCTTTCTCTTGATGTATCGGTCTATTATAACAGGGTCTTCAATAATGACAGTTTTCTGCTCAATAGCACCTGCCTCATTGAGAACTTCACGGGTAATCTTGAGTCGCTTTCGCTGGTTCCGACTTGTTGAGGTCGTCAATCCGGTGATTTGACTCATGCCTTCGTCGACATGAGCAGGGGTCTGGGCCCTTTGAGGGTAAAAGCGGTCGTCTTCATCCGCCGGCGGTGGGACCACGAGGTCGTCGTCTTTTTGGGTGCCATCTTCGAGGTTGGCCTTCTGCTTTTCCCAGATTTCGCGGATGCCTTTCTTGTACATGGCTTCTTGCTCTTTGACGTTGTAGGCATGGCCGTTGTTCGCTTTGCGCATAGCATCGGGATGAGCGGCCATGGCATCAGCCGCCGTTGTGTGGGATCCACCCTTCTGAACAGTCTCGAGGTAACCTCCCTTCATCGAGGTTCTGATGAAGCTGAAACCAAGACCATGTCCTGTTGGGTCACCTTGGCCATGAAGCTTGAGCATAGCTTTGCCAGCGCACGCGTCGATAAAGGCCTTGCTGGTCTTCCAAGGTGCCATCTTGTCCGCGAGCTTCTCTTCGTTCTTCTCGGCAGCCTTCTTGCCGCCTTTGCCGGTGCGCTCGTCATCGTCTTCCTCGGCAGGCTCGTCGTTATCGTCCTCCAAGTTGACATTGTTAGGGTCAAACCCGGCGTCTTCCAGCATCTGCATGCCCAATTGCATGCCATCAATCAAGCAAACATCCTCGGGCCTAATCATGGCTCTGATGCCATTTTCGTCCATCAGTGTTTCTCCTGGTCTCAGGCCCCAGAGACCCTTCTCAACTTTGGCATATACCAGAAATTCCTTCAGCTTTTGTCGGTTCTGGGCGTCGGTCGAGTCTGCAATATGCTTTGTGACTTCGGAAAGATTGACAAGGCTGTGCTCGTTCCGCCTCATCATACGATAAGAGATCATCTTGATTCTGTTCTTCGAAGCGTTGGTGACCTTTCTGCTGTGGGGCCCCGGAACTTCCACGCTAGGGAATGTCTGGCCAACGACGTAAAGATGGTCAATCTTGTGAAGGTACCAGTTAGATCCATCCACGCCTGTTGAGCTCCGGACGCAGAGGAAGTCGGTTGAGCGCGGCTTGTGCTTGAAGATGGGTGCCCTGTACATCTGGTTGTGCAAAGTAGGCATTGTCTGGCCAACTTCCACCTCGCCGAAGATTGCAAAGGGCGACCTGTCCTCGGGCAGGAGAATATGGGATTCACCAATTTCCATCTTGGGCGGGGCCTCCTCATCATCGACCTTCTTTTTCCGGTAGTAGTTGATGACTCTGTTGCCCATGCCGAAATTGGAAAGGACGGGAGGTGTGCGTTCGCAGTACTCGAACAGCACGGCTGTCGAGTTGTCTGTGATGCCCAGGTCCTTGGTGGTGCGGAAAACTTCATGGGCCTTGCCTTTCATTTGCTTGCGCTTGTGGAAGCCGAGCTTGCTGAACCTGATCACCTGACGCTCGTGCTTACCAAACTTGAAGTAAGGACGATGGTAACCATCTCTGCGGATGTCCAGTTTGACCTTGTAGAAGGGCCATGCCAGCTTGAGTGCAGGCATACTGTGTTCCACCTGAAGATTGCCAAGAGTTGCTCTGACCTTGTGCTGATGATTCTCCTTGAGAGCCTCATACGCATCGTCGTTTGACATATTGAACCGTTGAGAGAGGTCGGGTCGAAGATGACCGTTGGCCATGCGTGTGAGCTTCTGCTCAACCCGCTGGCGTTTGGGACCACGTTGCGATTCGGCTTCCTCGAGAAGGAGGTAAGGATCGTTCAAGTCCAGAATAACTCGTTTAGAAGAGCGCTTTGTTACATCCTCAAATGAGTCGAATGAGGGTGCAGTGAAGCGTGGAATTTCCGGAAGACCCTTGGGCGGGGGCGGGCGTGTCTTTTTGGTTGGCGGCGGCTTGGTTTCTTCGTCATCCATGAACTCCTCCCAGTCAAAGTCAAACGCATCGTCGTGGGCGCGCTTGAGGGATGCTGCTTCTGCTGCATGGGCGGCGGCTTCTTGGTCTCGTTGCTTCTGAAAGTCGTGCTCTGCCTGCTCAATGCGGCCAGCCCAGTCGTCGCAAACCATCTCGATGTCCTGCAGAGTAAAGCCGGCGACCGCCTCGTAATCTGAGTCCTGTTCGAGGTTGAACTCTTCAGCCTCGGCTTCGTCCGACGATTCCTGCTGCGTGCATGTCACTAATCCCCTGGTGTCATCGTCGATACGCTTCTGCTTCCTTGTCGCAGCGGCAGTGCCTGGGATACGGAAAAGCTTCTCCTGGTCGGCCGCAAGATCCAAAGTCAATTTTGAGAATATCAATGTCTTAGGCTTCTTGGTCGGTTTTTTCTCGATCCATCGGGCCTTCTTCGGGGGGAGGAGTTCGTTCCATTTCAGGATGACACCCTTCTGCCATGTTGGCCACGCCTGCTTGACCAAATCTTCAACTGTCTCTGCCGGCGCGGGAATATCCGGGTCTTGATTAGCGGCCTCATAGCCAGGCTCGGGGTCGAAGTTGATGTCTCGGTACTGCGACGCATCGGCGTTGTCGAGATCGTGAACGTGAGGCGCTGGTGATGGTGGGCCGGGTATTTCCATTGGAGATGAAGGTCCATCGCCGAAGAGGTCGTCTGTATCGTTACTCGTGCCTCCATCGTCCGTCAAACCTGGTACGGTGGATAGGGAAGTCGCGGGGTTGGCTTCGCCTTCCTCTTCCTCGGGCAGGTCATCGTCGCTAATATCCTCGTAATCCTCCGCATCGTCTGCTTTGCCGGACTGGTCGAATGGCTCATCCAAGCTAAAGCCCAAATCTCCTCCTTGTTGAAGCTGGCTAAGCGTGCGCGAAATTTGCTCGTCGTCCTGAGCCTCCAGGTCCTTTTGGGACTTGGGGTCCCCGTCGTCCGGAGACGGGGGTGACTTGGGGGGTTCGTCGCTCATGATGTCGATGTTGGCACAAATATCTCCCCTCTGGCACCTCCGATATTGTGCGCCGACGGGTTCCGGGTCTATACCATGCCTCGCGATGTGGTTGCTGATGCGATGGCGGCAGCGTTCGGTCGGGGGGGAGCTCGTCAGGTCGATGGGGCGACGCGTCGGTCGGCTCTGGGGAAGCAGGAGGGAAAGTTCACGTAGAGCCTCAGAAATTTGGGTGACTCAGGTGCGATTTCTGCAGGGGTGCCTGAGGCGGAAAGTGTCAGCCAATCAGCCAGCTTCCGCGAAGGTAGCCATCGTTTGTGGTCCATGCCTGCCGTTTCCACCCCAGTCGAGACCACTGGCGGGGGCTGTCATACCTAAAATCGACCAAGGAATCTTGACTTCGTGATGCCTCGGGATGTAGATACTTTGAGGCAGGAGCTGTAGTAACACAGATCTGTGGGTTGGAAAGTTATGCAGGCCAAAAATGTCTGTTCCAAGACCATAAAATGTGTGCTCAGAGGTGCGGCCCAAGAAGGAGGAATGAAGATTATGGCAATGTTGAAAGGCGCATTGTGGTTCAACCAGAAGGTAGGCAAGTGGGTGCAAATGGGAGAAATTTGAGGTTCTTTTATAGTAGGTAGGAGGCCTAGAGTTAGTGATCGAAACTTGGCAAGGAGCTCCCATCGCGATAGTGCCTGCCTGAGGTACACTGGAAAATCTGCGTCAGGAAAGAAGCAGGCTCATAATACCTACCTACCTTAAGGTACCTTAACGTGAGAATAGCGCCCAAGTTTCGCACGTTGTTGATTTGAGATATGTTTGGTAGAGTTAAGTACAAACTTTCTTGGCTCCGTTGACATGATCTACTCAGCCTTATTGCTTAAGCACCTTATAACTGAGTGAAGCTAGCTTTCAGGTTGTTTCCAATAACGGAGCGGGTGTACAATGCATGCAAAAAGGAAAAATCTTGCATAACTATGGAAATCTCGCCTATCTGAAGCTACCGAGACTTCCTTCCAGTCTGAATGTATGTTCAATCTCACCAACGAACTAAAGGAGTGCATGCCTGAATAGTGGATGAATGGACTATTCCATAATTCAAGCCTTGGATGTTGACTTCAATCGCAACCATACACTCAAGTGTGGAAAAATGAGCCCATATCGTCCTTGCATCCCTCCAATTGTTTGGAAATGCTACGCGATATCCCTTCCGAAAGCCTATCCAGGGTCAAGAGCATCAGAAAGCGAGGGGAAATCCTCACAATACCGCGAGACAGCTTGGTTGACACTTTTGTGTATTCCTTAATAACTATCTAACCTGTTCGGCGGCTCACACTCATAGACACTACTTCCATCCACAACCATGACGATGCGTAATCTTTTGACGCCCTACCTTCTCTGACAACTCAGAAAAGACCATAATTTCATCGCAAAACTCCATACGCCGTCTTAGGTAACGCGAACGAATTGAATCACCCCGCCAGACTCCTGCTTTCCGTCCCTTTAACTCAGGAGATTCCAAGGCACCGGCAGCAAGCATTTACTTGCAGCGCTTCTCGACAATGCTCACACCGTTCTCCTCGTACTCCTTACGCGAGATCCACATCTGGTGGAACGTGCCCAAGCTGGCCAGAATGCTGCCACCGATCCAGGCACCGAAGCGGCGCTCGCTGGACAGACCCGCAGCGTGGATCTTGATCTTCAGGCCCGGGTACATGGTCGTCAGCTCGTTGTTGAGACGATCATTGAAGCCGTTCAGCAAGCTGGTGCTGCCGGTGACGACGATGTTGCCCAGCAGGTTAGGGCGCAGGTCGACATCAACGGCATTGAGCGCCGCGCGGATGAGCTCGGGGATGGTCTGGCTCTTGTTAAGGCGCAGCTCCTCGTTCGCCGTCGGGAACGCTGCCGTCTCGTCCCACATACCCTCCGAGACCTTGTACCGCTGTTCGCGCCACATCTGGTTGGCGCCGTTGGGAAATTCAAAGACGCGGCCGGGTTGTAGCTTGGCGAGCTCCTCGTTCTGGGGGACGGCGTACTTGCCGGGACCGCGCCAAGTCTCGACGACGGACTCCTTGAACTCGGTGAGCAGTCGCTCCTCCTCGTAAGTGCGGAACGAGTCAGTAATGCTGAAACCGAACTGGCGCTGCTTGAACTGGGGGAGTGCACCCGCGTCAACGGGAGTCTTGTTCTCGACGAGGAACGTAGGGACGGGGTCGATCTTGGGCTCTGATGTCTCCCAGAGGCTACGGATCTGCGAAGACAGCCACAAACCGCCGACAGGGGACTTCTGGATGGATCTCTTCAGAACCATACCGTCGTGGATGGCCGTGACGGAGGTGTTGGCGCCACCGACATCGATGACGAGAGCGCTGGCCTTTCCGGCAGCGAAGGCAGCCAAGACAGGCGTTCGGCTCAGCCAGAAGGCAGGGCAGCCCCAGTTCTCCATGATTATCTCGATGGCCTTCTCTCTGGACTTAGCCGAGTTCCAAGGCGCCTCAGTCATCAAAAGAGGGTTCTCCTGAAGAGCCTTCTCCTGAGTCTCGGCATCCTCCATGGCGACGTCAAGATCTCCATTGGCCTCGCCTCCCTCGGCTTCCGTCTTAGGGTCGTCGTTAAGGCCGTTCTTAGAAGGAGGTGTAGGACGCGCGGGTTGGAGGCGAGTGATGAGCATGTGCTCCCAGATCTTGTTGGCAGCATCCCAGTCCTCAACGACGCTGTCCTTGTTCATGTAGTTGCGGACCTCGAAGTCGGCGCGGGGGATCAGGCACTCGTCGCCAAATACGTCGGTCGGGGGATCGTTGGAACCGACACGGCCGTAGAACGACGGAAACACAGACTTGGGGACATCCTCGCCTGCGAAGCCAGCGCGAGTGCTGCAGTATCCTGGGTCGAGAACCAAGGCGGAGACCTCATCTATTGCACGACAGTTAGACGCGGTGACAACGCGCGCGCAAGGCGGCCACGGGACGAGGTTCCGCTGCTAGCTCACCTCCACCGTAGATGTCAGTCGGCTGCACCGACGAGGACAATGGCTGTTGCGACATTTTGATCGAGTCGGAGATGTTATGCGACAAGCCACCGAGATAATTGAGATGATTCGGGGGCGGTGTGGTGGGTTGTTGCGATGCTGCGCCTGATTGAAGGTCGCGTCGTGGTCGAAATTTGGCGTGGTTGGGTGAAGCTGCAAGGCTGAGAATTCAGCCACACCCCACCGTGTCGTAGCGCGACACACTGTACGAGCTCTCGGTGTGGAGCTTCTCACCGAGCATCCAGTGTCGAGGACAGAACGCTCCACATCTTTTTAGGGACTCTTGATCGATACCAAATGCGCTGATATGCAGGCAAAATAATCACGAGTATTTTAAGTGAAGAATATGGCTTCAAGCTTGCATCAAAGGGTATCTTATTCAATGTGTCATTAATCCTCACGTCCCGGCTGTCAGCCTTAGGTAACGATGTACTCGTCTTCTGACTCGAAATCTCTCCCTTCTCCGTACAGCACCTCGCAGGCACCTGCCAGCGGGATATCCATTACGGCATCCGTCCCCTCATTCCAGATATTCTTCCATTTCAGCCCTCCCCCAGGCAACCTATTATCCCTCTTGTCTCGCGACCTTCTCTTGGCCTGGCCGTCCCTCAGCCGCCCTTTGCTGTCGATCACGCCGACCTTGGATGCGTCGTCCACCACTGTCTCGAGTGAATTGAGCGGCAACGTCATGATCTCGACGTTGTAGAGAGCCAGCGCAATGTAGATGTAAACCCCCAACATGGTCAGAAACGCCGGTATCGCCAGCGACCACCATCGGTTCGGGTAGTAGTAGATCCCCAAGGCGTGCAGAAACGGCGACGGCAGGTAGGACCACAGCAAGTAGACGATAAACGTCAGCGTCGAGAAGAGGTACAGCACGAAGCCGTAGTATTCGTAAGTCGGGACCTGCGGCGACGCGCGGGGGACGGGCTCGAAGTCGTCGTCGGATGCATCGGGGGTTGTCGGTCGCGAGGGACGCAGGAGCGATGTCAGCGATGGCGAGGGCGGCAAGGGAGTCGGCGGACGGCCGTAGAAGGGGGGCGCGAAGTAGTTGTGATGCAGCGGCCGCGGGGGCAATTCCTCGCCGTCGCTGGATTCTGACTCGATGGATTGGGTATCTGAGAGGACTTGGTCTTCCTCTTCCGACGAAAAGGACATCATGACTTTGGGGGCGTCAGGCCCGAGTTGAGAGGGTGTTTTGCTGTCGAACTTGTGCAATGACGAGGTTTGCGCCTTGGCTTAACTTCAAAGGGGGGTTGAATGTTGAAATGCGGTTTCCTTATCCACAATCTGCGGCCCTGGAACGCGACCCGTGGTTCCACCGCCGGGATGTGGACGGCAGCGGGTGGGGCCGTCTGTAAGTGGCTCGGCATCGATTTGGTGCCCGGTCCTCACTGACTGCAAGCCATTCAGGTTGGCCAATGTTTGCCAATTCTACATTACCGAGCATGCAATGATACAAAGTCATGGCCTAACTTTTAGTTGGTGAATCACTTATCCGCTATTCTCAATTACTTGATTAAGAAGAGAACCCTACGAACATCAACTGAAAAAAGAAAAACAAAAACAAAAACTCGTCCGTACGAAGATCGTCCAAGAGACTCAGCTTTCCTGTGCCACCAAGTCCACCGGGGCCGCCCAGGTCTGACAACAGCTTTGTCTTAGTTGCATATAGTCGGATGATATACCGACTGGCGATGCGTGGCCGCTGCGGGACCCTTTAGAATATCTCATTAGGGCCATATGTATGTGTGCGAAGTAAACTTATCCATCGGAGTTTGACTAACCAAGCCATGCCGTGGTAAGACAAGACAGAGAGACCAATGACTTGTATACATTTCGTTGCTCCAGATATGCAGTTCCCAGACAAGCTATCGCAGGATACCTCATTAATAAGCTGAGACAAGGTTAATTTGCCTGAGCTGGCTGCATTCATGAATTCGTGGTTTGACTTACCGGCTAGTACACGTCGTATTGGACATCACTCGCTTAGTACGGTTAATTGTTTCGAATCCGCAACTGCGCAAACCAGACGTTGGGAGTGACATCCCACTCATTGAATCATGGCCACTACCAAAATCACATCAAGCAGAAGGGGAGAGACCCAATTCATTGAAATGTTTGTAATATTAATCAGCTGGAACTGTGCACATCTATAGATGATCGATGCGTATGAATGAAAACCCCATAAACAATGCTTTTTGATACCTGAATAACAACCCATGAGCGGCCCGCAATGCTGAGCGCCTGCAATGAACCAACTTTGGCCCGAACCAAGACAACAACAAATGCTGTCAATATGGAAAATTCGGAAATGTGTCGAGAGATAGCCGATTCAAAACATTAAAGTCAGCCGTATCTCGTACCCTCGTATATGCATTATTTGCAAGACTCGCTCATAGAAAACCATGCAAGACGGTGCTGAAATGCAGAAGATTCATGAGCGGGCCGGGGTGCTGACGGAATCATACCCAGCCGATCCGTTCCTTGCCAATAACGGCTCCGTCTCCTGCCCGCTTCCAGACGCCTCTCCGCTCGAGGTGCTTGTGATCGTGTCGTCGTCATCGGTGCTCTCTTCGTCGTCGCTGGTGTCGGGCGACTGCGTGAGAGCATCGCTATCAACGAGCATGTAGATGGGCACGGCGCCGATGATGGCGGTGACGGCGAGGAACCACCAGGAGGTGATGACGTAGCCCTTGCCGACACCCCAGGAGAACGCAGCACCGGCGGCAGCCGGACCGAAGGCGCGGCCGAATCCGGAAAACATCGTCGCGAAGCCGTTGAGGGTGCCGAGGATGCGAAGGGAGGAGGCGGAATTCGTGAGGAGGATCGTCATGCAGGGGAAACCGATGATGACTGCGAATGCCTTTGTGAACATCACGACCATGAGCGCGGCGTAGCGGCTAAAGGTCGTCTCGAAGAGGACGGTGAAGGGGGTTAGGATGTAGACGACGGGGAAAGTCAGAGCTGCGCGAGACATCAGCATTGGAATTTATGCAAGCGGGAGGAAATTATACATACCGCATGCGCGGAAGCAGCGGAGGACACCAAAGTAGTTGCATAGCGGCGGGAAAACGAAGAATTGAATCACACCGCAGGTGATGCCATAGATTGTGAAGATGGTGCCAATGCGGTCTGAGCCAAGACCGAAGCCGCCAGAGAACTGGAAGGGCAGGTGGGTATTCTCTGGCGTATGCTCGACAACAGGGTAGTTGAGGAATACCGGAAGGACCTGGTCGTAAGCGACGGAGTGAAGAGCGAGGAAAGTGTAGCAGATAAGGTTGATAGTCGTCTGCGCCGTGAACACCTCCTTCATGCTGGGTGCCTCCAAGGGTTGCTTGTTGTCCTCGAGCGGATACGCGGGTGGGTTGAGCTTGGTAGGCACGAGCGGCGCAGTAGCCTCGCCGTCGACGAAAGAGGCGCGGCGAGCGCGGGTGTTTGCGCGGTGGTAGTGGCGAGTGCGACGGAATGGACGAGTGAGGCGTTCGCCCAAAGTCAGGCCCCAGTCGGGCTCATGGCGCTTGCTCTCGAGAGTCTCTTTCAGGAAAAGGGTCGCATTCGTAACGGAAAGGAGGAAGAAGACGGCAGCGAGGAGGTTCGGCAGGGCAAAGGGGTAAGTCGTGAAGAACCAGCTGTCGCCGAAGATCGAGGGGAATCGGTCGGCGGGCTTGGCGAAGAAGCCACCGAAGGCGGGGCCGAAGATGGAACCGACCGACCAGACCAGAGGCATGATGGAGAAGGCTCGGGGCTGTAGCTCTTTTTCGGGGACCATTTCTGCTACCATTGTGCGGATAATTCCGACTGAATGCGCATGTTAGCTGAGACGTCATTGGGATCGAAACTAATGGGTATGCTTACCATTACCGTTACCACTGCCCAAGATAGCGCGAACAGTAATCGCCATGGGCAGGCTGGTTGACATTCCCCAAACAACGAAGAATACCATAGTCGAGAGCAGACCAACAATGATTGTCGGTTTCCTGCCAAATCGATCGGATGCTCTACCCCACGGGACTGCAGTACAGCTCTGAGCCAACGAGAAGACGGCGGATGTGATGCCGGCCCATCTCGCAACATCGTTCTGTTCTACTCCGAAACTTTTGATCATCTCTGGGAGGTACGGAAAGACGGAGGTCAAGGCGAGCGGTTCGGCAAAGCGGGCGACGGCTACACGGGACTGTTAGCGATGCAGAAGACGGACTAGGTTGGAGGACACCTCTATTGAAGGTTTCGCGATGCATATGACGTCGGGCGCAAGGTGTAATCTGCAGCAGTGACATGCCAACCGCCTTGGGCTTGGTGTTTGAAGTCTCGACCACGGTCGGTTCACATTGATCAGGCAGCTCGGAAGACCAGGACCATTTTCCACGTCGCATTCGAAAGTAAGATATGGTAGGCTTAGGGGATGTAAATGCGTGGCTAAAGGACAGGCGGCTTCGGGCGACAAGACGTGAATTTCCCAACCGACCCATGCGCTCTCGACTCTCGTGTAAACGCTTCCTAATGCTCCAAATGTTTTCTCTTGTGTGATCCCGGACGCCGCGATGTGCCTGCTTCCTTGGCTGTGTAAAGGCACTTGCCCGGCACTAGGTGGTGTTGCACGGATTCGCATTTGTAGATCAAATGTAGTTAAAAGCAATCGCAGTAACAAGTTTTGAAAAGCCGGGGCGCGTCTTACCCAGAATGGCCAACTGCTTCGCGGGCAACTTGGGCTTTGTTGGCTTGGTCATATTGAAGATCTGTGACCGCAAGTATGGGAGAAGACCAAGTCGCGAAGTTCGCAAGGATCGATGTTACTGCCGCACGCTGAAGTAAGTGATCGACCCGGATGGTAGTATCAGATTTCAGCGCTGGATCCTTGGTGACGTAGTAATTCTCCGTCGTCTGCGCTTGTGCGACGTAGGGAATAGCAAGAAAGCAGAATAAGTCAGGAAGGGGCAAATCTAGAATCGAGGGAAACCAACGGCCTTTAAAAACAAGGTAGGGAAAAAGGCAGAATTGGAGAAGGGAGTCACAAGAACACAAGCAGCGGATGGGAAAGGCGGTTCGTCAAGCGCAAAGAGCAGAAAAAAAGAAAAAAAAAAGGCCTAACGGGAAAGATCCACTTCGATGTCTGCAGGCTCGCGGCTGCACTGGGCCGGACAGGGAATAGCGTGGGTAATGTATCCGCACCGGAGCTGGGGAGTCATCCGCCCCTTCCCACCTCCCACCCCAGCTTCCTGCAGAAGTTCGAGCCCCGTGAATGGCAGTGGGAATGTCTGGGCAGCGGGCAGGAAGGGGACTCGACCTTTTCCCCGTTCTCTTGCACCGATCCCGTCCAATAATGCTGACGGAAGTCTCTGTATTCCGTCTGGGCCACTGGCTGGAGGGGGACAAGAGGGTTGCGGTTTGGTTCAAGCAACAAGTACACCGAATTCGTGGAGGGGCGAATATCTGGCCGTACGCCTCCGGGCGGGCCACCATTGGAACCGCCTCGGCTTCGCCTACCGGGGAATAGCCACTAGCTGGAGCACCGCTCTGGAGGTGGGCATTCCCGCCTGCCGTACCCTTCCTTACTTGGCGTTCACTATGAAGTACCCATCACGGCTCGTGGGCATAGTAGGTCAGCATCAGCATCAGCGCGAGTATCAACGGTCGTGTCGACAAACGGCATTTGTAAACAGTGACGTGAGCGCGAGACGCGAGGGAAGTAGTCGAAATGTATTGCTGCGCGTTGGCAACAGAGATGGGATGATCGTGGGCATAGATGTGTCTCGGATATGGACTGGACGGGTCAGTGAGAGAGTTTGGCTTCTTCTCTGCAGATTTGTAGGGGACGCTGGTTCGGCTTGCGCGGTGCCCCGTGTTGCTGGCCACAGCAATGCGCACTTCTCCATCACGGCTTCCCTGCCTGCAACCGCTGCTGCTGAAGCGAGCGAGAAAGACAGCGTTCCCGGTGCGTACCCGGTCGGCCCAGGCCAGACCACGGTGCGGTGCGGGCAGGCGGTCGGGAGGTGTGCGACGGGTGTTGGAACAGGGGGGGCGATGTTTGCTGCTGGAGATGGATGGTCCGGCTGCACTGCGACTCCGCGTAATGCCTGCAAGCCGGCCATTGTGCACGCTTCCAACGGCCGCCACAGAGGGTCCGATTGTCGGCAGAAACTTTGTGGTTGTTGCTCCTGTTGTTGGAGTCGGTGAGGGTGTGAGGGAAAAGGCAGGGGTCCTCGCTGTAGGACGATTTGTGGTTGCGCCTCAAACGCAAAAGTAGAGACACTGCTGTTTTTTTGGGCGAAAAAGAAGTTGCACCCCCCGCAAGTTGCCATGACGTCCAGCCTTCACCATGGTGGGGGGCCTCTTTTCCCGGCGGCGACTGACCGACTTCGCCGAAGCCGGGGCCGAACCTCGGGGTGGCTTGCAGGAGCGTGGGCGCAGAGTTGGCAGCTGGACAAAATGACACACTGGGGCGCACTGGCACCAGCTGAATAATCATCACGGGCCCATTGGATGTTACGCAGGGGACACCCTATCTGTTCGGCTTGCCAGCGCAGCGTTCGGCATGAAATCTGAACATGCGAATCCCTAAGACAAGACATGTGCTGTCGCTGCTTCATTCAAAGACATTGCACACCGCCAGACGGCAACAAAATCACCAAAGGCGCAGCGTTTCGCACCCAGAGACTCCAGCCTCGGAGAGTGGTGGTTGCCAGACAGCGTATCCGGGAAGAGTTTGATTGAGTGATTGGACGGAATCCACCCAATCAATTGCGTGATCACCGGGTGTTGGCCGATGTCCAGTCACAGGCGCAGGAGAAGGGAGGTTGTGTGTCTCGACTCTCTTGACTCGAGGGGCTGAAGGGGTTAAGGGGAACAGGCGGCAAAGGCGTCGCCGCTAACGAAGGCGAAGAACGGATGATGCAACGCCTGTTCTTATGATGACGATGGATCGAAACTGTGTTTCCTCAGGCGTGCTTATATTCCCGGGCTTGTGCCATGCTAGATCGGACGCAGTAAGACTGTCGATGCGGTGTCACGGGTCGAATTTGGAGGGGTCCGATCTAATGAGATAAGCAGATAGGATAGCCCACGCCGACGAGTGAACCGCAACGACGCTCCGTATCTCGCAGCGTGGTGAGCACGCCTGTTATCTCCAGAGTCCGGTGTTGAAGTCGGCACCGGACCGCCGATGACCCCGCAAAAGCCCCCCAGCTCGCCTGTGTCCCCGAAACAGGAAGGAGGCCAAGCCCATTCGTCAGCCAGTGCTGGAAGCAGGCAAGCTGGGCGGGTTCTCACTAACTATCAGCCAAATCAGCGCCCGTGGGTGGCCAGTGTCAGTGGAGGCGTCACCATCCGGCGGCAGCCGATCGGCAAAACCGTTACCCATTGACGCTTGATAACATCAACTGAAGCACGCAATGTTCGTGCTAGACTTGTAATCTCTCCAACTCTGTTTCAACTACATCTCTGGCGGCAGGAAAAAAGCGCAGAGAGAAGCTTGTCAATTGTGTTCTGGTGACGGCTTCCGGTGCTTTTGCAAGATGGCACAAGAGTAAGTACGCGTTGCTGTCGTCCTCGTGCGACCTCTTGGAGCTCTGTCTGGTGCCTGAGCTAGTGTGGCTGGTGGCCGCGCGATGATGCAACCACCATCGTAAGCCACATGTGCGCATCCGCGTCTCATGTTGCTTTCAATCATCACTTCACGCCCGTCTCGTTCCCTATATCAGAGTTTCGCGACTTCAGCTTTCGAGAGCTGCGTGATATAGACTCGGCTGACACGAACCACAGAAAGCGCTACCACGACAAAATGGCTAATGAGCGGACGCCGCTCATCACCAACGTCTACGTTGGTGCGCCCCGACCCCGCTACCAGAATCACGTCCTGCGGCGCTTCTGTACCATCGCGCTCTCTTCCATCCTCATCTTTTGGTCCGTCTTCTTCGTCGTTGCGCTATTCGTCGACGACCCACCCCGACACCACCACCATCACCACCATGGCTGGTCCCTGACCAACAGCTTCAACCGTGCACCCATCACTCACGAGGAAGTCCAGAAGATCCTCTTTGAGGTTCCCTCATCTGAGAAGGCCGAGGAGTGGAGCAGGTACTACACTGCCGGCCCCCATCTCGCAGGTCAAAACTACTCTCAGGCAAGTAATGTGATACCACTTGCGAGCAAACAGCATTTAACAGCCCGACAGGCTTTGTGGACCAAGGAGAAGTGGGAGTCTTGGGGCATCCAGTCCGACATTGTTGCTTACGATGTGTACATCAACTACCCCGTAGACCACAGCCTTTCTCTGCTCTCCAAGTCCAAGGATGAGGAGGAGTCCGCCTGGAAGGTTGAGTTCAAGGCCGCGCTTGAGGAGGATGTGCTCGAGGAGGATCCCAGCTCCGGTCTGCCGAACCGCGTGCCGACCTTCCACGGCTACTCCGCCAGCGGCAACGTGACTGGATCCTTCGTCTTCGTCAACTACGGCACGTACCAGGACTACGAAGATCTCGTCAAGGCCAACGTCAGCCTCGAGGGCAAGATCGCCATTGCCAAGTACGGCGGCATTTTCCGCGGCCTCAAGGTCAAGCGTGCGCAGGAGCTCGGCATGATTGGTGCTCTGCTGTATAGCGACCCTGGTGACGACGGCAAGGTTACGGAGGAGAACGGCTACGAAGCCTACCCCGACGGCCCCGCCCGCCACCCGAGCGCCGTCCAGCGCGGAAGCGCCCAGTTCCTCTCCGTCCGGCCCGGTGACCCCTCCACCCCGGGTTACCCCTCTAAGCCCGGCGCCCCTCGCGCCCCCGTGGACGACGCCACTCCGTCTATCCCCTCCATCCCCATCTCCTACGCCGACGCCATCCCTATTCTCAAGGCGCTGAATGGCCACGGCCCCTCCACCAAGGACTTCAACAAATACTGGAACCGTAACCTCGGCCTCGCATACAAGGGCGTCGAGTACAACATCGGCCCTACCCCTGACAACGTCGTCCTGAACCTCTACAACGAGCAAAACTACACCACGACCCCTCTCTGGAACGTAATTGGTATCGTCAACGGCACCATTCCCAACGAGGTCATCGTTGTCGGCAACCACCGCGACGCCTGGATTGCCGGCGGCGCCGGTGACCCCAACAGCGGCTCCTCCGTCCTCAATGAAGTCATCCGCGGCGTCGGTGTAGCAGTCGCATCCGGTTGGAAGCCAACCCGCACAATCGTCTTCGCCTCCTGGGACGGCGAGGAATACTCCCTCATCGGCAGCACAGAGTGGGTCGAAGAATACCTCCCCTGGCTCTCCGCCGCCTCGGTGGCCTACGTCAACGTCGACGTCGGCGTCCGCGGCCCTCACTTCAGCACCTCCGCCGCACCCCTCCTCCACAAGGTCCTCCGCGAGATCACCCACATCGTTCCCTCACCCAACCAGACCGTCCCGGGCCAGACCGTCGGCGACGTCTGGAATGGCCGCATCAGCACCATGGGCTCCGGCTCCGACTTCACCGCCTTCCAGGACTTCGCCGGCATCCCCTCCATCGACATGGGTTTCGGCGGCGAGAACGACGAGGCCGTGTACCAGTACCACTCCAACTACGACTCCTTCCACTGGATGGAGAAGTTCGGCGACCCGGGCTTCGTCTACCACCGCACCATGGCCCAGATCCTCGGCCTCGTCGTCGCCGAGCTCTCCAACGTGCCCGTCATCCGCTTCAACGCCACCGACTACGCCGATGCCCTCTCCGGCTACGTCGACCAGGTCGAGGCCAAGCTC